AATTTCGACTTCTTCAGAATTGTTAAACTTTTGATTTGCAAGAGAGTGTTGCATAGAACAAGTGGTAAACTGAGGGAGCAATATTAGGCGAATATGGCGGATGAGGCACAATTTTCAGCCCAAATTCTTCTATCGTGTTTTGAGTTTGATGCCAAGTTTGATGTGTGTACCCGGGCGTTGTTAGCGAGCAAATGGATTGCCCTTGGGTTAACACTTCTTTCTCGTAGAATTTCATCAACTTTCTCCAGCTGTTTGGTGTAGATTTGAGAAGTGATAATTTGTACTGCTCGTCTAGGGTTGTCAAAGTCATTAAAAAATTGTTTGATATGATTAATTGTTGTTATGATTAATTGTTGTTTTTCAGCTTAGGTTAATCTATTGTCTTAGAAAGCCAAAAAGATGCATTAAGCGCAACATTATATGTGCTGCACCCTGTACTTTTCAAATGTCATTTAATCGAGCTTCAACCGTATTGGACCCGTATTGGAACCGTATTGGAAGCGTATTGGAAGCGTATTGGAACCGTATTGGAAGCGTATTGGGACCGTTTTGGAAACGTATTGGAACCGTATTGGAACCGTATTGGAACTTTACTGGAACCGTATTGGAACCGTATTGGAACCGTATTGGAAGCGTATTGGGACCGTATTGGGACCGTATTCGAACCGTATTCGAACCGTATTGGATCCGTATTGGATCCGTATTGGAACCGTATTGGAACCGTATTGGAACTTTACTGGAACCATATTGGAACCGTATTGGAACCGTATTAGATCAAAAAAAGAACCGTATGGGAACTTTACTGGAACCGTATTGGAACCGTATTGGAAGCGTATTGGGACCGTATTCGAACCGTATGGGAACTTTACTGGAACCCTATTGGATCCGTATTGGAACCGTATTGGAACTTTACTGGAACCGTATTGGAACCGTATTGGAACCGTATTAGATCAAAAAAAGAACCGTATGGGAACTTTACTGGAACCGTATTGGAACCGTATTGGAACCGTATTGGACCCGTATTCGAACCGTATTCGAACCGTATTGGATCCGTATTGGAACCGTATTGCTGATTCTTTAAAATATGTATCTGATCCTCAAGAATTATTATGGAAAAGGATTACCAGCAAATCAGCTACAGTTAAATCCTGGTTTTGATATGGATTGATGCCGGTTCATGTCTTAAGATTTAAAATTTAGAAATGCTATCATGTTAGCCAAATCCAACATCAAGCATTTAACGATTGCTAAAACCAAACTATTCATCAAGAAATTTGCATACAGAAAAAATAACAAATTCCGATCTGACTTTGATTCAAATTGTCATGTTTATTTGAGAATTTCTTTCAATTGAAAAAGGTATTGTCAGTTGAAAACGAATAATTTTTCAACCAAGATATTTTTCAATGAAACAAATTAATTTTAAAATAAAAAAAACTACTCTTGCAAGTAGTAATGAGCTCTGGAAAGTAACTGAATCTACGCAGGCAAAGAAAAAGAAAGGAAGAATCGTGTTTTTGTCGATCCTCATGGAAAACTCTTTTCCCCTGATCGAGCAAGGAAAAAAAGCAAAAAAGTCAGCTGTGAACGATATGAGAAAGAAAAAAAAGATTAAAAGAAAAACGGCGCCCGCAGCTGTTCCCTCTTTGGTCCACTTTTTTTGAGAAACCCGGGATGACCATCCCATCACTCAATTCATCATTTTTCTTCACACTCAAAGAAAAATGTTACTTTAGTGATTGTGTTAATTCAACTAAACGTCGAACAGTTCGGTTTTAGTCTTTAATACATCCAGAGATGAATGTTAACAGGTTTTCAAATTCAAAGTTGAATTACAGTCGATTCAATAATGGAATGGAAGCTACCAAAAAAATTTTTAGCGAAAAATTTTTTTCTTAGCTTCCATTCCATTATTGAATCTACATCAATGTAGCCAAATTGATGTAGATTCTTAAAGTAAAGCCATCTAAAACAATTTTTCGTTGAAAGTAGGAGAAAGAGGGCGAGGAACAAATTCAGGGCAATTCTCAAATGTGAAAACGGCGACCGAGTTCAACTGAAATCGTTCCTCGCCCTCTTTCTCCTAGCTTTGAAAAACAAATGTTCAATGTAGCTTTACTTTAAGAATCTACATCAATTTGGCTACAAAATGAGCTATTAGGCAAGTTTTTTGGCTGAGTAGAAAATTTTTTATAGCCATTTTTGAACCTAAACTTTGGGGGCTCAAAAAAAATTTTCTACTGAACCAAATGAGCTAATTTCAAAAATTTATTATAAAATATATGTATTATGAACATTTTTTATGTGAGTGACTTTTTGATTGGATGCCCGGAAATACCGTTTCGTTAGCGGCTGAATTTCGTAAGCGGCTACGACATATAGTTGAATATTAAAGTTGACTTCGAAAAACTGTTTCCTTGTAGCTTTGATGAAGCACAAAAGCCTTATTACACTTTTGTGGAAGAGATTTGCAGCTTTCGAATGGCATAAAGCTAAGCAATGTTTTTAAGAAATTTACAAAAAACAAGCAAGGACGATTTTTTGTGCATCTAATTGGACAAATCCAATTTTATCTGCTTTAAACGAGTTTTTGTGTGCAACCATAGTTTATTCGAGATAAACTATTAGATTAACGTATCCAGCAATCTATCAGCTGTACAAAAAACGAGGGTTTTCTGTGTTGAAGGGTGCACAAGCGGGGGCAATCTGGTCCTTTTTGTTGTGGAGAGGCATTCTCCCACACACCCCCATGAATGGCACCTCTTCTACAATAAGAGTGGATGGGCATGACGGAGGTGAGTGGATGAAGAAGGGGAAAAGACTGCTTGTTTGTCTGTTTCGTTCTCTTTGTGCAGTCTTCGCAATTCCCCTTTTTCATCTATGGTATCGATGTCTTTTTTTCGAGTCCCATATTTCTGGTTGTTCTGTGGAAACTAGAGAAAAACAGTCCTTATTTGATCCTCATTACATCATCATCGATTTTGATTCAGTTTTGTCTGAAAAGTCAAATAAACAATTAGCTTTATAGTAGTAATTGTAAGCAATTGTTTTAGTGTCAATTTTTCTGAACCAGATACTAGATCTTGGCCTGGCTTCTGGCCTGCGTGACTTGCAGAATCATTGGCAGGAGCCTAAGCCTAAGCTTTGCTTGATCCTGCCTCTACAGGTTTTGAAAATTCAATTTAGAGCTTTCGGTTTACTTTTAATTTTGCTATCTTTCAATCCTTTCAAAGCCAAACCCAAACAACTTCCATTTTTCTTCCCAATCTCTTCCTTCTTGGGTTTATTTGTGTGTTGTTCCTAGAGAGGGATAAGTCAGTCCATTCTTTTGACGACAATAGAAGTGACAGAAAGATGCGTCCCAAAAAAAAGACGATGGCTAAATAAAGAAAGAAAATACCCATAGAGAGATCTATAGAAAAGAGGCGGCCTAACAAAAAACAATACTCACCATTGAGGAAAGGACTGGCGCACAAAGGATTGACAAAAGGTTGAGGTCAAACGGTCAACTCTTTAGATGAGCAAAGGTTAAGGGTGAAAGGTGAGAGTGGTCTTATGGATTGGATAATTGGAATTGGACGGCGCCCTTTAGGCATTTGGCTTTCTTTATAAAACTTAATCGTTCTTTAATGAATCCAAGATTGTACAAATTTTTATCTGGTCGTTGGCCAGGCTAGAGTAGAGTCTAGAAGCCAGATCCAGACCTGATCATGGCTTCGGGCCTTACCTGGACTTGCCTAGCTTCAACGGGACTTGTTAGCAGATCTGGGGGTTATCGGATGAGCCCCACCCCTTTCCCATTAAAAATCTAACTTTGAGCTTAAATATCTTTGCGTTGAGCTGTTCAATTTCAATATTCTTGGTATCATTAGATTCATCAAGACTTTCTCTGTCGATTGGTACAAAAACTATTGAAATTGAAAAGCCGAACACCAAGAAATTTGAGCTTAAAGTTAGATTGCCAATGGCAAAGGGGGCCGGGCGATTGTGGAACCTTTTATACGCGCCCCGCCCCCTTCGGCCTTGAAAATCTGACTTTCAGCTCAAATTTCTTGGTGTTGAGCTGTCCAATTTCAATAGTTTTTGTACCAATCGCTAGAGAAAGACTTGGCGTATTCAATGATACCAATAATATTGAAATTGAACGGCTCAACACCAAGAAATTTGAGCCCAAAGTTAGATTGTCAATGAGAAAAGGGGTGGGGCTCATCCAATAACCCCCAGACCTGCTAACAAGTTCCGTTGAAGCTAGGCAAGTCCAGGTAAGGTCCGAAGCCAAGATCAGGCCTGGATCTGGCTTCTAGGCTCTACTGCCATTGGCAAAGGGGTACCTGGCCTAGCTTTTAAACTAACTTTGCTTGTCTTGAGCTGATCCGGAAAAATCGACTTTGCACAATTCTGTCTCATGTAAATTGTCAATTCACGAATTTTTCTTATCATCTTCTCTTCATTTTAACACATTTTTCACAAATGGCAGCAGTTCAAAGATCTCACAACGTGACTTACTCTCGAATCACTTCACTTTTCCCCTCCCTTGACCACGAAATGTTTCTCTCGAGAATAAAAAATCTAAAAGATCCTTGGAATTTCTTTTGAAATCCCCATGTTGTCATCTTTCTCTCATTTTGGAATGACTGAACAAGGAAAAGAGCAAGGAAAAGAGCAATGTAAAGGTGAATGGGGCGGAGTCAGGGGAGGGGTAAGACCGTGTATAGTCTTTATGGTGTCTCCTTTTCCTTTCCTTCTTCGCCTCAATCGTCCTCTATCCATTCCCACCATTCCCCTTTTCCCTTTCAATACCATTCGAGTATCGCTACGTATTCAAATTTACTTTTTTCCTTATCAGTTTTGCTAGGAACGCTCACAAATTTCTCATTTTTTTTTACAGCGAATCTTTTTAACTATTTAAAACTTGAAAATAGGCTCGAATCATTTAAATTTTGATTTACATTCTTTTAAAATAGCTTTATTGATCGATTGATCGATAATTTCTGCATTTCATGACTTCATTAGAGCTTAATCAATTCCAGCTTTTCGCTCTTGCTGTGCTTTCCTCACCGATGCTTTCCTCACCGATGATGTTGTCGTTTACGACAATATTTTCCCTGCTTGGAGTCGTGTTGATGATTGTTGGACTCTCTTTTGACAATTGGATCGAATATCAGGTTGGTTGATTGAAGAAATTTTTTGTTTATTCCTCTCTTTTCTCTCTGATTCATTTCTTTTTTTCCCCGAGAAATCTCAGCAAGAAATTATTGATATTGCAGAGCTCGAGACATTGCAAAGCAAGAGATTTTGATTGAAAAGTTTTACTATATTGCCTAAAATAGAGAATTTTCTCGTAGTTTTAGTTAACAAGAAGAAAATTAGGGAAAATTACAATGCCTTAGTACCATAAACAAGTTTTAAAGTCTCATTTTCTTACCTACAACTCATTCCTGCTCATTCCTGCTCATTCCTGCTCATTTCTGTTCATTCCTGTTCATTTCTGCTCATTCCTGCTCATTCCTGCTCATTCCTGCTCATTCCTGTTCATTCCTGCTCATTCCTGTTCATTCCTGCTCATTCCTGCTCATTCCTGCTCATTCCTGTTCATTCCTGCTCATTCCTGCTCATTTCAGATGTCTACAAGCTTTAAATATATTATAAAATCCCATTTCCGTAACCAAGATCGAACTCTTGATCTCTAGAATATTTGCTAAGACTAAGCTTGACCAAGAAATGATGAATTTTAAATAAAAATTAAGATTTCTAGAGCTAGATTTGACGAAATCAAGATTTACAGTACGTCTAAATACCCTTTTCGTTTCACAAAACGAAAATGGTATTGATATAGAAAAGAAATTTTTCAATAACATATTCCAATCATATTTTCCAATTTCTCATTTCCAATAGTCACCCATTTTTCTTCACCCAACCAATCCCAAATCGACGAACGATTGCGCGATTTCAGTAGAGGGAAACGATTAGACTCCCCCCATCGCAGTCTTGTTTGATTCCAGTTCTTTTTCCCATCTCTCCATTTTCTTCAAAGTCAGTTCATTCCCATGAATTGACCAGCCGCTTTTTTTCCGAGATGAAGGCCACTTTTGCGAGTCTTCGCCCCTTTGGTCTTTCTTTAAGGTTCTCCGAGTTTTCCTTTTTCCTTGAAACAGTTTGAGGCTAAGTTTGAGACTAAATTTGAGACTCAATAGAAGCTCAATAGACTCAATTGAGGCTAAAATAGAAGATCTAAGATCTATTCCTCCACATATCATTAGATCGATCGGAAACTTTCAACTCTGAACTCTTGAAATTAGTCTTTCGTATTGCCATGATGGTCTATGATGATTGCCATGATAGATATGATACGTCTAAATGCCACTAAATACCTTAAAATACGAGTGAAGCCAGCCATAACTAGCCTGGTCAAACATTCAGAGATTTCAACTGGTTTTCTATACTTTAAACTGACTTCTAAAATTCGCATCAATTCATCATTAGCTTCATCATCTGATTCCTGAAAATCCCACTAGTCTAAAGCTTTCTTTTCCGATAAATCACAATCGAATCAATGTGTGACTAGGAACTTGAGAGAGACCAGATCTCTCATGGTCACTCGTCCCTTTTCTCTACTTGATTGGTGTCGTTGTGTTCTGAGAGCCAGTGAAAAAAGCCAGTGAAAAAAGCCAGTGAAAAAAAAAGGCAAGATCAAATGAGAGATAAAGATGAAAAAGCATGTTCTTGAGCATTTGTAGAGTCCGGCTTTTGTGGAAGATTTGGAGAAGACGAGATCCGAGAAGAACTCCTTTCCCCATTCTCTCAACTAACAACCACTTTGGCATGCGTGAACGCTTTTGCAAAATTTATCGAAAAGAATCTAAGAATCTAGACGACAGGTTCTAGAATTGGCTTTGATCTTAAGAAAAGTTTCAGGAACGATTCTAAAGCTTAAGATTCTGAAGCCATTCAGTCTAAAACTATCGATTTGATTTGACTAGGCTTGGGATTATCGAAAAGCGAAAAGCTGGGATTAAAAGTTATCGAAAAGCTGGATCTATGCAGCTAAGCAGCTAGTTTATCGGCATTGACTTTCTTAAGAAAAGCCACAGAATCGTTTTGAAGCTTAAACCATTGAAACAAAGCTTAAACGACTCAAAACATAAAAATTTCCCTTTCACTTTCCCATCTTTTCTCAATTTCTTCTCGAGTTTTCCTATTTCACTAAACGCTGACCCGATTCCCAACGACATAACTGTCTTCTTGCGAGAAAGAGTACAGGATATTACTCTTTTCTTTCATTCTTTTCATTTTCACAAAGATTTCACTACGTTTCTCTATTCTTTACGAGTATTCTCAGGTAACTCACCTACATATTGAGAGTGGTGTCAAGTGGACATTGGAGAAGGTGAAATCGAGTGGGTGAAAGAGAGTGGATGAAAGAGAGATGGGCAGCTTCATTTTGTGGAAAAGGTTGCCATTTCTAGGCAAGAATTTGCAATGCTTTAAAAAGCAAATCTCAATTTAAATCCTATCGCTTCCTTCACCTATCGCTTCCTTCATCGATATTCATCTCTGATTGTTCACTGTGCGGAATGTGGACAAGCCGTTGACCCGGGCATAATGAGAGTGCAAGCAAGAGGAGAAAGAGAAGCATAAAGGGACAAATGGGGAACCTCTCTTGTAGAGGACCAAACTCGGTTCATCGAGTGGAATGGAATATTTGCATTTGTGCGTCCCTCCTCTTAAACCGACATTTGATGGATGGACGGATCACGGCACGCGAATGAATTCAGAAAAGGATTTCTGTTATAGATGTTTGCTTTTTGATCGCACAGAGGGGATTAATCGATAAGACATTGAAGCGCATGCAAGCTTTAGAGCTTTAGACTAAAAGTCTCTCTTGGCTTACGCGTTTTCTAAAAAGCGTCTATTTTAGAAAACTATCGTAATCAATCGTCAGTTTGGATTCAATCAGTTCAATTTTTATATAATTGACTGAATCTTGACTAAATCTTGGGATTCTTTATTGTATTATACAAAAACGAGCGGAAAACGTACGATACTGTCGTTTTCCACTGGGGAGGTCCACGTTTTCCATGCAATCAAAGCCCCACCCCTTTTTGCCAATGACTGCGGACAGACGGACAGATGGACAGACGGATAGACGGACAGACGGACGGATAGACGGATAGACGGACAGACGGATAGACGGACAGACGGATAGACGGACAGACGGATAGACGGATAGACGGACAGACGGACAGACGGATAGACGAACAGACGGATAGACGGACAGACGGACAGACGGACAGACGGACAGACGGATAGACGGATAGACGGACAGACGTTCCTTTCTGCTTTATACATATAGTAGATTTGGCTAAGTGAATGAAAACTAGTGGTTTGATTATGGCAATAGTCGAAATAGATGAATTTTAAAAATTGACTGAAATGAATACATTCCGTTGAATTTTAGCTTTGCTGTAGCCTTACCAAGCTTGATGTTAGTTCTGCTAGCATTACATGTTTAGCCAAAACAATCTGATTAGTTGCTTGTTAGACTGAACAATTTCAAGCAAAACCAACGATACTCTAGTATCGGGGAGGAAATTTGCATATGATTTTGCCTTTTTGGACAATACTTTCAATAAAGTTCTCTGTTTTGGATATTTTGAGCCCAAAATACTCTCGTATAATACAAAGTTCTTGTACTGATGCCCAAAAATGTTCTCATTCTTCTCTGCCATTCTTCTCTGCCATCGATTCCCCTTCGTTCCGCCACCGCTTTCCCACCTAGTTTTGCCTCATGTCTTCAAGTCAAAAAAAAACTGGTTTTGGTTTAGTCAAATTGTTTCCCTTTCTCCTTGTATTCCTTCTGATTCGTTAATCTTTTCTTCTCTTTTCTCTATGATCGTATTGCTCGATTCTCAAGACGACCTTGTCTATAAATAGAAAATGTGTGTTTTTTGTTGATTTCAGAAGGAATTTGTTTACTCAGATAAATCGTAGGACGATTGAATGCAAATTCGGCAAAACCAGAGCTAGACCAGCTCTAGGATAAAGTTGAAATGGGCAGCTTCATTTTGTGGGAAAGGTTGCCATTTCTAGGCAAGAATTGCAGTGCTTTAAAAAGCACTTTCTCTTTCTCCCGGGCTAGAGCAGCTCTAGAATAAAGTTGAATCTTTGCAACTGATCGATTTAAACTTTGGTTGCTTTAAAAGGCTTTCAGAAGTCGAGCTTTTTATGGTGAAAGTTGCTTTTCTTAATGCAAATAGTATTGCAGTATTGGAAATAGAGCTAAAGTCAATTCATGGCTAAAGTCAGTTCATGGCTAAAGTCAATTCATGGCTAAAGGTATGAAAGCACTCGAGCGATCGAAAGGTCACATTGGGTGTGGAGGAGGATTGGAGGGGAATAGAGAAAGGAAAGGGAAAAGGGATGACCTTCAGGGTGCCCGCTAAACGGTATCCCGTAAAGGAGGAATGGCCCCAAAGCCACCTGTGGGTGTGTCTCTGTATGGTTAGCCTTGAATCGCTCTATGAACTTTGACTCTATGAGAAAGTTTGAGCAACTTATTGGATTGGCAAAGAAAAGGGCAAAGAAAAGGGCAAAAAGAAAGCTATGCCAGTTAATTTCAAACACTTCAATTTGTGATACCAAAATGTAATTCAAAAAGCAGCCAGTATCCTTCTGAATTACATGGAAAATGCAAATGATGCAAGTATACGCATTTTCAAAGCTTTCTAAGAAGATAGCAGTCTCATTTTGCTCCTTGTTACAAGAAAAAACAATAAAAGTTTCTGAGGAACTTTTTGGAAAGCAAAATCAAAGACAAAACTTATGTATGATACTAGAGAAGTTCCAGGATTGAAAGCCAAGCCTATGGCCAAGCAGCCAAGTTAGAAATAAACAGAAAAGATAAAGCTTTCGAATACCTATTAATAGTTACAGTCAGCCATGCTAACTCCGTCCGTTTTTCGATCCGTTTACCGTTGGCAAATGAATTTTGCTCGTATCTTCGCGGGGTTTGTTTGAAAAACGTTGAATTTACTTTTATTTGATTTGAAATCAAATTTTCTATCGAATGAAAGTAAATTCAAAGTTTTTCAAACAAACCCTACTAAGATACGAACAAAATTCGTAGATTGCCAACGGCAAACGGACAAAAAAAGGGACGGTGAAAAAGTCAGGGAAAGCAAGACCAGATTTTGGATCCATATCTGGATTTGAACCAAATCTGGATTCTGATAGGCTTCAAGGCTTGAAACTGTCTGAAAAGTGCTTTCAGAACAGCTCTGTACCATCAATCAGCATCACATACTACTTCTAGATAATCTCCTTTATTCCTTTACTCGATTTTCTTTCTTCTCAACTCATATCGATTTTCCTACTCCAATTACGACTTTCCTTTCCTCTTTCTCCCCTCAAATGTCCTTTATGAAGATCAAAGGAGAAAGCCGACTATCGTTTGAGACACAAATTGTGTCATTTGATCGGATAAATACTACCAAATATCGGTCATCGCTCTTCTCACCAACAATAGCTATTCAATGGAAGAAAACTGGGGAATAAACACTTGTCTCATAAAGCTTTGAGCCAAATAGTGAATAATTTCCAAATAGTAATAGGGATAATAGGGGTAACGGCCGCAGTGCCATAAAAATTGTGTATTTAGACCGTTATTTCTTATTATGTATCCTTTGTTTGTATCACATTATTGGCTTTCAATAAATGTATTTTTTTAGTGAATATCTCCTAAGCTAATCAAGCTAACGAAGATTTTGAAATCATTTTCAGGTAGATCGAAAGGGAATCATCAAGAAATTCACGACCGATCAAGATCTCAATATTCGATTGAAAGATGCTTTTGTTGGGAACAAGTTGTACTACTCGAGAAATTACGGACTTTTCAATGTTTGCTTTGGAGAAACTATGCCAAATGGTAAGGAATTGATTTAACTTTAAATTGGTAAAGGCAAAGGTGGTAAAGGTAAAGGTAAAGGATGATTGAAAGATTGCAAAAACATGTCATTTCGATCTAGAAACTTTTGCCTTGTCATTGAAGAGAAATAGATTTCTCTAGAATTAAGAGAAATAGATTCCGGAAATGTTCAAATGATTACTTGCAAGATTTCCTGGAAACGAAAAGATTTAGGCATTAACAGCTACAACAAATTGGGAGTGAACTGCATTAATTATAATGATTATCTCCCTTCCGATGCTGAGCTCAGCACGTACACTCAAGTAAGCTTTAAAGAAAACTCTACCAATGAACATAGAAAGTTCAAAATGAAAACTTCAAACAAATGAAAAATGAAAGCCTAACTTAGTTTTAACTAGTGAAGAAGTCAAATTGTATAGTTTTGTTTGATTTGAGGCTAGAATTCGTGAGAAAGGTTGGTGTCTTAAGCACCAACCCAATTAGGTTGGTGCTTAAGTCTTTACAATTTTTTTTCCAATAATGCAGCCACCAAATTTCTATTTGAATTATTAAAAAGCTTGATTGTTTCTCTGCAAAATGGCTTTTAAGAGGTTCTTGGAAGTTGATATCTGTTAGTCTATCGTAAATCTGTTCAGGATTGTTATAAAGATAACTTTTCCGGGTTCAGTCAGGTAAAACTAGAAGAGAGATTCTGGTACTATTGTGCATAAGTCTTCACAACTTCTTCTTCCAAACGTCTTTTAAAAATAATGGCACCACCAACAAGATTTCTATTTAAACTATTAAAAAGTTGAATTGTTTCTCTGCAAAATGATGGCTTTTGGCTTTTAAGAAGTTCTTGGAAGTAGTTGTTTTTGTGGATTTGTTTAATTACCCAAGTTAGAGTAATGCTCAAGCGAGCTCTGTTGACTGGGGTACCCGTGGTGAGGTCGTTGGCGGCTCCTCTTTCAACTAGCACGACCATCGCTCAACAACAGCAGCAAACTGGTGGAGAGAAAGCCAAGAAACCAACGATTTGGAAGATCGACGAGAAAAAGCGGGAAAAATTGGCCTCTTTTGGACGGTATGCAGCCGAGTGTCTTCCTAAATTTGTGCAACAGGCTCAGTTTGCCGCGGGAGATGAGTTAGAGCTATTGATTCATCCAGATGGAGTGATCCCTGTGCTTTCGTTTTTGAGGGGAAATCATTCTGCTCAATTCACAAATCTCACCTTCATCACATGTGTCGATGTGCCCACAAGAAAGAATCGATTTGAGCTCATATACGCCTTCTACTCGGTTCGTTTCAATGCACGTGTTCGCGTGCGGACTTACACGGATGAAGTGGCCCCAATCGAGAGTGCTTATTCGGTCTTTACTGGGGCTGACTGGTTTGAGCGCGAGATTTACGATTTGAAAGGCGCAAAGGCGACATCCAAAACTGTTCCGATTTGGACGCTTTCTTCAATACAAATCTATTTTGCTACTAAAGTAAAAAAGATAGAACTTATTTGATTATATAAGTCTGTAGAATTTGAAAACGAGTGCTTTCGAATGAAATCAGTTTCTTTGCTCGTTAAAAATGCTTATTGACACATTTTCTCGGCCGAATCTCAGTCTTGTCAAAAAATATTACAGTGGTGCATAAGTCTTTACAATTTTTTTCCAATAATGCAGCCACCAAATTTCTATTTGAATTATTAAAAAGCTTGATTCTTTCTCTGCAAAATGGCTTTTATGAAGTTCTTGGAAGTAGTTGTTTTTGTAGATTTGAAAGGCGCAAAAGCCGACATCCAAAACTGTTCCGATTTGGACACTTTCTTCAATACAAATCTATTTTGCTACTAAAGTAAAAAAGATAGAACTTATTTGATTATATAAGTCTGTAGAATTTGAAAACGATCGGTTTAACCATTTTCTTTAAAACAATAATTCAAAATGTTACATAAAAATGCGTTTTTAACGAGTTAAGGCAAGCTTTGAGCTTTCTCTCAAAAGCCATTTTGTAGAGAAATCTTTTTGAGGCTAGAATTCGTGAGAAAGATTCAATTAGGTTCAATTAGGAGAAAAAAAATAACGCTTTTTAATAGTTTAGAACAAATTTGGTAAAGGATTCTTCTCGATTTAAAGAAAAATTAGAATAAAATTGTAAAGACATCAACCCAATATATTGCTGCATACAGAATAGACAACTTTGAATTAAATAAAAGACTTTATTGACTGTATTGGCTGTATTGACTTGTTAATTGTCATTGCTGATTACTAAAGTTCTTTATTACGAGATTTAAACTTTAGGCTAAGCTGTAGCAAAAAACAAAATTGATACGTCACCCCATTTACTTCCTTTAGCCTCAAAACGTGCGCCTTTGGTTGATGAGGGGTTTGGTGTGTTCATTTGCTCTTGGAATGATCCTTCTCTTCATCTCATTTGCTGTCGGAATCACCGCCTGTTGGACAAGAAGTCAACGATATGTGCGCAGCACAGCTTACATCATGCTTTTCTCAAGTAAGCCTTGAATTTAAAGTCTTCAAGTCTTCAGCCTTCAAGTTACAGACTTCAGCCTTCAAGTTTTATAGACTTAACTTGGGAATGAAAAAGTAAGGAATGAGAAAGTAAGGAATGGGAAAGTAAGGAATGAGAAAGTAAGGAATGAGAAAGAACGATTTTCGGAGAGGGATTGAGGCCTCGACCTTTTTTTTGGCCGATGCTTTAACCATTGAGCTATTCAGTATCTTTTTGAGGGAATATTTCAGTGCTCTTCGTTTACATCGGTCTCGGCTTGTGGCACTACGTTGATTTCATCGAGCGCAATCAACTCGACATGATGCCATTCTACAGAGCCTGGGAAACTGTATGTTCATATTATTAAAATTCAGCTTAATTTAAAGCTATACTTTTTTTTTTGTTTAGACTCTCAAGAATTACACTCAAATCAGCTACGGTTGGACGCTGGTTTTGGCGTGGATTGGCGCCGGCTTTCTCACTTTGGCCACCGTTTGCATGTTCCTTTCGGCGTGGGCTTTGAAGGTCGGTTTGTGAAATGTTTCAAGAGCTGTTGAAATAGTTAAATTAAACATTTTAAAAAACATGGGCACTACAAACTAGAAACTACAAGTGTAAACTACAAACGCTTCTAACTAGCTTTAAATCTATCGGGTTGACAAGAGTTATAGCTCAAAAAATAGAGACTCTCAAGAGCTTTCGAATAGACTAAAGCATACCTAAAATATCAATGCTAAAGAAAGTTACAGAGATTTATAGGTTTGTAGATAGCTTTGACTACCTGCAAGTACGGTTCGTCGGGCTATAAACCACTGTAACTTTCTTTAGCATTGATATTTTAGGTGTGCCTTAGTCCATTTGAAAGCTCTTGAGCTTCTCTATCTTTTGAGCTATAGATCATATCAATCCGATAGATTTGAAGCAAGTTAGAAGCGTTTATAGTATGACAGTTCGTTTTTGTAGTTTATAGTGTTCATGTCTAATGTAAAACGGAAACTTTTAGAGAGAAGACAACAAGGCTTTTGAAGCGAAACACGGTGGATACGCTTTATCGAGTTATTACCCTGATATGAAGACTGGAACGATCATGCCTTCTTACAAGTAAATCTAGAAAATAGAATGAAGAGGACAAAATCTTGTTGCTCCTGCCAGGACTGTAAACAGATTGGTGCATTTGCGCGCTGTGAAATCGAAACGCATCTTATCTAGTGCACGGTTTCTTATCATGTCTCAATAAAAGTGACGAATTGAGTGCATTGGGAAAGGAGTGTTTACGCTAATTTTGCAGCCGGTCAAGGTCCTGGCTTGGCCTGAAAGATTAGCTTTAAAAAAACCGTGAACTTAAGCTAATACTAGCAAAAACTTATAATTCCTTATACAGGATGTTTCAAAAGTTCTGGCAGAACTTTTTGTAAAAGCAGAAAATGTCTAACTGATTTCAAAACTGGTAAGTATTATATAAAGATTTGAAGCCCAGAAACTTGGCTACATCTATATATCAAAAGCTTTCAAATTGGAGCCATGCAACTCATGTGACAAGCTTTTGAATGAGCACAAAGAAATGGCAGCGGGCTGGAAAGAGATCGAGTAGTGCTCACTCAAAAGCTCGTAACATGAGTTGTGTGGCTCCAATTTGAAAGTTTTTGGTATGTAAATGTAGCCAAGATTCTGGCCTTCAAAACTTGATATAACATTTACTACTTTTGAAATAATTTAGACATTTGCTTGGCTTTTACAAAAAAAAAGTTCTGCCAGAACTTTTGAGACCCTGTACCTCTCTTTCAAATATCTCAACAATTTCAGCTACAACACCTATGGTTACGGACAACAATACCCCGGCTATTACCCGCAATACAACAACAATCAATACTATGGATATATGACCTATGGACGTTAAAGAGCGAAATTTTCACTCAATTGACTTCAAAATTTCATTTCTATCGTGAAAAACCGAAGATTTTTTTCATCAAATTTAACTAGGAAATCCGTTTAGAAAGGTGCTATTCTTATTTTATTCTTATTTTATTCTTATTTCCATTACAACGAGCGATTTTTATTCCATAGAACCTCTCTAAAATTTCAAACTTTCAACCAAAAACCATTTCGATTTTTCCACAAGTCTGCCCGGGCTTGCCATTTACCTTATGCCTCATTTTTTTAAAACTTCAATCCATAATCTTGTGTTCTTTTTACTTTCTTTTTACTTACTTGTTGTGATATGCTCAAGAAAAACTTGTCTTTTATAAGAAAAAAACTCTGCTTTTCGAAAATTCAGTTACATTTCTCTTTATCTTTTTTTTCTCTTCTCATCTTCTTCTGAAGATTCGGGTCCTCGTTTTTCATGTTCACAAAGTGTTCCCCCAATCACCTCTGTTTTCTTCTTAATATTGCAATAAAATAATGCATTTCTTCACACGAATAATTTGATACAAAAATATACAAAAGAGAGAGAATAGAGAAAAAACTAATAATCTAGTCACCGGGATCGAACCCTTGATCTCCCGATGGGCCACCCGACTAAGAGACAAGGCTCTTAGCCAGTCGGCTATAATGGCAATCGATCATTTCCGAAGAATGATCAATTAAAGAGAGTGGCGGCAAAACATTGTACTGAACAAAAGATGAAAATTGAATCCAAGGCATATACCGCATTTACTTTTATAGGCATTTACTTGTATAGACAGAATCTTTTAGTGATATATTGTTATAAAGGTCATCAAGACCTTCAGTATCCCAATTTTTAAGTTATCTTTACCCTAGCTTACTCTTGGAAAGATCTTTTGTTTTACAAATCTTTCTATAGAGTGCTTTACAAATCTTTCTATTTCCAGCTATGGAAACTCGGTTTTTCGACTGTAACTCGACCCCCAATTATTTAATTCCCTTAATTTCAGATTTATATTAAGTTAATTTCTGCGCTCAATTTCAATTCTTAGTTCAAAAACACAGTGTTACGCTTTCTAGAGTACTTCGAAGTTCAACGGTGCCAACCTCTCGGCAGAATCGCTTTTTGGCAGGATTTGCACATATTTTTAAGCATTTCCCGTTTAGTTGTGAGTCTTATTGGGAAGCTTCTAAATAATGAGAATAACGACTCTACATTGCATGTTAATGAAAGGATCAAAGTTGAACTGGCATCCACTTCTACAGGGTGGCGCACAACTATGGAAACTCGGTTTTTCGACTATAGCTCGACCCCCAATTATTCAATTCCACTAATTTCATATTTATATGAAAGTTCAATTTAATTTCTGCAATCAATTTCAATTTTTAGTTCAGAAACACACCGCTACGCTTTTTTTAGGTACTTCGAAGTTCAACGGTGCCAACCTCTCGGCAGAATCATCATTTTCGATCATCAACTCTCAAGAATTGCCCACAAATCAACCAATTCTTTTAGTTTTTTCCATTCCTTATTTAAATTTAGACAAATATCAGAAAATAAATGCATAAACTTTGCAGGACAGCAAATCAGGAATGATTTGAGAGTTACCATACAGATGCTCTGCTCAACTTGCAGGGAATTCAACTATTGGCTCTTAAAATTTAGAAAATATTGAAAATCTTTTGATGTGAAATGCTCTAGATAATTCTATTGCTTAATAAAAAGCAAAAATGAGTAAATATGAAGCGGGAAACTCTTCAAAGTATGCGCAAATCCTGTCAAACAACGACTCTGCCGAGAGGTTGGCACCGTTGAACTTCGAAGTACCTAAAAAAAGCGTAGCACTGTGTTTCTGAACTAAAAATTGAAATTGATTGCAGAGATTAAATTTGAAATTTCATATAAATATGAAATTAAGGGAATTGAATAATTGGGGGTCGAGTTACAGTCGAAAAACCGAGTTTCCATAATGCTGCGCCACTCTGTAAAGCTTTGTGACTTTTAGATTTGCTTTGCAAATCTGTATATACTCTAAGCTTTATCAACCACATTGCTATGATCTTTTTCCAGCCTGACTAATCTTTTAGAAGAGTGTATTTATGTGTTGGATACAGAAAAAGCGATCGAAAAGGGGAATTGGGGAATTCTCCTTGACCTTTGACGGCGCCTCGGATAAGGAAATGGGAGATCCCAAATACGACAATATATAGGTGAAAAACCCGAAAGATGAGCGAATATGGGATATCTATCTATTGGAAAGGGATTTCCAAGACTTTCTCTTCGTTGAAAATTGAGGAAAATGATCTAGGAGAATGTGGATCAGAGGAATTTCCTCGGTGATAGCACTATGATAATAAATTATCAGTTTCAAAGAGCCTGGAATTGAAAGATTCTAAAAATTACAATGAATAGAATTGAATATAGTAATCTCTAAATGCAAAGCTAACGAAATACTGTAATCCCTGTGCTTTGTATCAAGCTCCAGACTCCGATATTTCGATAAAGATAAAGATATTCGATCAGATTGATCAAATCAAAAAAATAAAACTATGCATTTGCCAAGCTCTAGATGATTAGATATTATTTTAAGTCCTTTTTATCTAAAAAAGTCAATGAATCGGATCAAACTAGCCAAGTTTGGACAGTTATTATTGTCTAACAGGTGTAGCTTTGGGTTAGTGAATTGAAAACTGCGGGCTATTGTCATATGTGACAGTTTGAGCACTTTCTTCGAAAGAAACCCATTTTGGTGTCAATGGAAAAGTTGTAGAGAATCAAAAATTAACCTTATATCCAAACTTTCAGAACGATTCAAAAACTGGTTTTCAAGAAATGTCAAATTTACGAATTTTCACAAAGCTTGCAACAAAACTTGCATTTTAAGCGAAACTACTAAGTTTATCTTTTTGGAAATTTGGCTATAAGCTTAATTTTTGATTCTCTACAACTTTTCCATTGACACCAAAATGGGTTTCTTTTGAAGAAAGTGCTCAAACTGGGACATCTTCAGTCCTCGATTTTTGAGTCTCACACTTGTCTCACACACAAACCAAAATTGTATTGTCTATTGTCATATGTCACAGTTTGAGCATTATTCTTTAGAAGTTCTTTTTATCCTTTTTATTCTTTAGAGGTCCTTTTTATCTAAAAAAGTCAATGAATCGGATCAAACTAGCCAAGTTTGGACAGTTATTAGTGTCAAACAGGTGTAGCTTTTAGCATTGTTTTGAGAGCAGCAAGATCAGACGTTTAAAGTCCTATATGAACCAAATGAAGTTTTAAATTTTTACACAAATTCATGAATCTAGTGAAACAATAGCCGTAGTTTTTCAATATTTAAACAAAAAAAAACTGTAAACGCTTTTGATTTTTGAGGAAATGAATCAAATTCAATCAAATTCAATCAAATTGATTGGAAACTAAGCCTTGATTCAATCAATTTTTTGATTTTGTTTATGATTTTATGATTTTGTTATCTTTCTCCAGGAAAAGCATTACCATTATAAAACAAAATATGAAGCCGCAATCCCACTTCTCTCTTCCCGCCTAAAACGTGCCTCACTTGGCGAATTGCCAATTAATTTCTCCATTTTTCTTGCCACCTTTAGTCATGTGTTTACTTCTTATTTTGTTAACTTATTTCACAACTAAACAAAAGCTTTTCTAGATTGATGGGCAACGCTCTTCAAAGAGCCGAACAATTGTTGAAAACCGATGGAATCCCACCGACAATTTCTCTTGAATGGGAGGAATTCGCTGGATACATTTGTGAGATGAATAGAAGGTAGAAGATTTCATTTTCAAAAAAAAACTTCAAATTGTTAGATCAATTTGTGCCCCCTAGGCTTTTATTTACCTAGAGAGAAAGGAAAATTTGATTGATCATTGATTGATCAACGTTTAAAAGCGTAAAACTTTTGCAACTTTTGCAAAAAGTTAGTAAAACTAACTTACAAAATTTGCTGATGCCTTTAGATGCCGAAACCAAATCAATTCTGACAACGAGTACATCTGTTTTGCGCTAAAGAAAGGTACCACGGATACACCATTGTGGAAAGCGACCGTAAGGATATGTTGCTTGAAAGTGAGTTTACAAAATTGTAAAGAACAAATACCATAATTATTCTATTATCGAAGCAATCGTCTAATAGAAACGATCGTTTTTTTAGTCTAACTTTTTACAAAGTACTTTTATTTTACTTTTTTCTCAACTCCCAGCTTTTTCTCACTTATGTTTTTGTTATTTAAAAAATACTAGATTAGAAGAGCGATCGTCTGAGAACCAAACGCACATTCTAAAATAAAGCAGCGCGGAGAACGGAGCGTTTAAATTTACCCCTCAATACCTCACTACTCCTCAATACCTCACTACCCCTCAATACCCCATCTTCACCTTCAGCACCTTAGTGACCTCCAGAATGCCTGAAAACATTCTAACATAAAGCAGCGCGGAGAACGGAGCGTTTAAAGTTACCCCTCAATACCTCACTACTCCTCAATACCTCACTACCCCTCAATACCCCTCAATACCCCATCATTATGCTTCTATTAGAACAATTATGGCAATCATTCCTGGCATATTGCGTCTAGTTTTGAATTTCTTTCAGATCAAACAAGTCTGGGAAATGAAGGTAGACTTATTACCTTAATTATTCCGCCGAAACATTCCAATAGCCGGTTCAATCCTCTTTAGATGAATTCTTTAGATGAACGCCACCGATAACACCGTGAAATCTTATCGATTTTTCAATTTGACCGAATTCCTCAACGTCTATCGATCGTATTTGATTCTGTTGAAGCCAGCGATTGGACACGAAAGGCCACCAGTTGCTGATGAGCTGATGAATCAAAGCATATACATATTGGGACAAACGTGGGTTTTAACTTGAAGTAAGAGGTTGAAGATCTATCAAAAATCACAAGAGAAACATCTGACTTTATCAATATTTCCTTTCAGAGCCATCTCCGACGGTACTTGTGCAATTTGCATGGAACGCCCGAATGAGACTCTCCTTCCGTGTTTGCATTCGTTTTGTACTGTTTGCATAGCAAACTGGTTTGAGCACAGACCTAGGTAAGAGTTCGTTGAAGATTGAAGACAACTGAAAAACAATTACTGTTGCTTAGATTTCCTTCTCTTTCTTCCTTTTGTATTTCCTCTTTCTTCTCTAGCAAGAAGATACCAGATAGCTCAGTGATTAGAGCAAGAAAAAAGTCCAAGGCTTCAATCCCCTCTCTTTCTTTGCCATTATATGATTTTTATTCAGGTTTAAATGTCCTCTATGCAAAGAAGCTATCAAAGATCCATTGGCCGATAGCTGGGAGGTAACCGACGCTCCGACTGAACAACAAGTACAAGACTACTTCATGGGAATTACCGGAGCTGAGTCAAGCACCAATGTGTAAGCTATAACTAGCTATAACTTTAAGTAAACACATGAAAAACGTCTATCAGATGGAAGATCTTTGCTCGATTTTTACTGGTTTAACCCTCGTTATAAGTTACCTATAGTGTGGGCATTGGAAATCAGCGCAAAATTCTATATCGAATGGTCTAGACCTCACCCTTAGCATTTTAGTCACTTGTTCCACCCTTGTTCTACAATTTACTACAAAAATAAAGCATACTTTCTAATCAAATAAAGCATACTTTCTAGTCAAATAAAGCATACTTTCTAATTAAATAAAGTAAATTCAGTAGTGGTAACCTTCTCACTCGCCCTCTTCAACCCTACGCTTCTTCATCTACCTCAACTCTTAACAAAGACTGAATATTCATCTAATTTGTTAGTTTAAATGCCAGTTAGTAGAATTCCAGTTAGTTTAAATGCCAAAGCCATTGGATAAGCTTTGATTTTGATAGTCACTTCATTATACCGGTTTTTCTCATTCCATGATCCGCAACGAATAATTTTTTTCGAATTCTACGGGTAGCTTTATCCTTTATTTGATTAATAGTGCAAAATAGGAACTAGTCAAAGATCTTTTTACGGTAACTTTTTGATTATTCAGTCAAAGATCACTTTTATTTTGCACTAAATAGTGAGAATCTTCCAAGAACTCTAAGAATTCGTTACAAATTTCCCAATTTTCCTGATGTGTTCAATATTTTTATTAGAAACCTCTCGAACTTCGGAAATCTGCCAAATTCCCAGCGTTTAATGTACATTTTATCTTCTTTTTCGTAATAAATAATGCAATGATTTTTGGTGAGAAAATGCAAAGAAAGCCATAAAGCAAATAGTATAAAAGAAATGAAGTAATGTTGACGAAATTTTTATTTTAAGTGGCAGAAAAAACTTTTAACCGATGATTCACATCAAGAAATTCACTGGTTCGATTGTGGCTGTGTTGCTGATTGAAGTGATCTATGCACAAAATTCAGCGGTAAGAACAAGACTAACTATAAGGGTTTTGAAAAAGTATAAGAAAAGAGGGCTTTTGAACTATCGAACCATATTCTAGCTGCTAATACACTTGTTACTTTCAAACAGCGGTTCGTTCATAGGTGAATGTATCCTTTACACTGATAGGTTAAGGATTAGAAACAAAGTGCATAAATCAACAACAGCAAAACAATACCAACAAGAATTTTCAGTACATGGAAGCCCTACAGCCATCAATCGACCCGTACAAGCCTCTCTTCATAGCTTCCAATTCACAGGTACTCTTTTTTTCTATTATTTGTATGATTTGTGTTTCAGCCGACTGAGATGAAGCAAAACATAATCATTCGAATTGATGGACAAGGTGGTGGAGGACGACCACAAACTGGGCCTAAATCAAACCCTGGTCCTGGTCCAAACCTTGCTCCGGGACTTGGAAGATCTCCATCTAGTGATGGTTGATTTTTTGTGTCCTTAAAAATGGAATTAACAAGAAGTTAATGATATGCTAAACTTAATGTAAAATAAAGTAAATAACTGTAAAATAAAGTAAATAACAAATGTTATTCATTACTGTAAATCATTTTAGCCGCCTTGCCTGAAGCCGCTCAAATGAGACTTCCGATAGTTCTTGCTCGTCGGGAAGTCACTCCATCAAAATATTCGTAAGGAAAGTTTTCACTATTGAAAATTTCGTTTTCAGCTCAAAACATATCTATTCAATGCCTGTTCAAAGACCAAGTGGATTGGATCAGTCCGGGATTTTGGGAGTCGACTCGAAGTGAGTTTTACTTCGAAGAAAGTGCCGTATTTACTCTAATAGAAGAGCATGTTCTTCTATTTCTTCTTCTATTAGAGACTGCTCTTCTATTAGAGTTAATTCAATATGTGCCTGGGTTAAGGTATGATGAGTTTAGGCTATGTATCTCAAAAATTGCAAACCCGTCCTCTGGATGTGACCTCAGACAGTTGACGGTCAGCAGCGATGGTGGGTTTGAGATACAAAACTCAGAGTCCAAAAAAAGACACTAATATCTACTTACCACTAAAGTACTTCATATTAATTCTAAAAAGTATCAAAGGTACACGTTTGATGACTGGTAATGGGAAAGTTGGTTGGGTGGCGACAACCGATGGCGCTTGTGGAGCTGGGGTCAAAGTTAGGGTAACAAAATAGCCGTTTATGCAAAGCCTGACCATCAATTTTAGGAGTACTACAGCGCTGAGCGTGATGGTACGTTTGTACTTTCAAACTGTTCAAGATTCTAAAACAAAACAAACCCTTTTCAGACTATTTGTACTACTGCAATGGCGATGGATGCCAAGTATATCCAGATGCCGCGAATTATCGCTCAACCGGCAGAACCTTTTACACGTGGCGTTGTCGTTAAGCAAATAAATTAGAATCGGCTCTTATTCTCCCATTTTTGCGACCCTGGTTCGGTCCCGGCCAGCACCATCTTTTTTGCTTTTTTTCCCCAAAATTTGTATGTTATATATTTCAAGGATTTATCCATAAATCTAGAAAACAACACAAAAAACCAACCACAAATATCAATCATCAAAGATGCAAATCCTTTACAAAATGATCAAAGTATAATGAATTAAGCAAACTAATTACAAACTATGTAATTACACTTGAGAACGTTTGAAGACTGTGTGGGTACCGTTAAGGGACCGGTTACAGTTAAGGAACCGTTAAGCAAGTCTATAAGGAGTTATTTGTAAAATGAATGACTTTATATTTCGCGAAAAACTTTTCCTTAAATACGAATTTGCTTGATCGCTGAATATCTTTTTGTTTAATAAAGCGATGCTTGAATATCTTTTTATTTTAAGGCAAAATAAAACGACAAAAGATTTTTTCCATATTTCGCTTTGATAAGTTTTGTATTAACAAGAAGCAATTGTTTTTTTGATTTTTATACATGGGCTTTCCGATTTGATTGCAAATTTACATCTTTTTGTTTAGAGTTCGACAAACTGCTATTGGTCGTGACGAGACAACGAGACAAACAAACTTCTTCGGTGAGGCTTGGTTTTCTGTTATTTTTTAATGGTAAATTATAAAAATCAAAGCATAATCTAGCGTATCTTTATTGTATTTTCAAGCTTTTGCTGCGAAAAGTTTCGCCTAGCCCCGTTCTTTATCATACACGGGCATTTTATTTTGAGCTCTAACGACAGTATCCTTTTTTATGTGTGGAAGAAGGAAACCATTAGGTTGCTATATTTATTGTCTAATATTTGTTTAAGATGACTGAAATGTATCGTCTGCCACCTTATTTTCCGGAGGATGCTCGCAAAAGTGTGAAACCAAACCAGGTATTATTTTTAATTTAAGATAGACTCAACATTATGGAAAAAATTTGCCTCAAATGTTGGGCAAACATTAAAGATAGTATTAGTGCCCATTAAATTAAAGTTGTTTAGATAATTTACGCGCTTCCGAGCTACCACAGTCAGAATGGAAGCACGACAAACGCTGATAGCGAGGTGGTTTATGATGCACGTTGTTAAAATAGAGGATTTGTTTAGTTTCACCCATTTGATCCTGTCAAGCATATTGAGAAAGATCAGCTTGCTCTCATTGAAAAGCTACGAAAGTTTGGTAAGTTCAACATTATTTGTCACATTTTATTTTTTTAGGAAGTACTCTTGATGAATACATCAACGATTTCTCCAAGTCAAAAACGACACCATCTCAATCCAAGGAAGGGGATCAAAATAAAAAGGTTGCTTACGCTTTAGCTTTACGGAGTGATGTTTAAATTTTAGATTAACAAAGATGCCAAAAAAGAAGCACGGAAGGAAAACAAAGCCAAAGCTGTCGAAGCTTCAAAGGATGGACCAATTGTGAATGAAAAGAAGACGCCAAAGGCGTCCTCTTCTGGATTGTCCGATAATTGGATCGTAAAAGTATGCTTTTTTTAGCATGATGACAACTTTTTATGTATAGGAAGAGAAAGATAGTACTGAGACAGGACAATCGCTCACTGTGAACATGCCCCAAAGCCTAGCAACCTTTCCTACAAATGAAACTGGCCCCGTTTCTTTGTCGGTGACAACCGATGATCATAAATGGGTTGAAGTCATGGCTAAGGTTGAATTGTCATTAGTTGTATTTTAGTAAAATTTTAACTTTAGATCGGCGAAGAACGAGGAGTGCTTTTTGTCGGAGCGGTTAGGAATAATGCCAAAAATCCCAAAACAACCGTTTCTGTTTCAGGACAAAGTATCATTTTTTTCTATGCCTAACCTAAATATCACTTTAGATGCGGTCACTTTGAGCAGCAGCAATGGACATGGAAAAGTCACTGGGAGAGTCTCTGTTTGGAAGGTAACCTTTTTTGAGTGTTGCTCATCATTTTTGGTTTTAAGGCATTGGGAGCAATTTTGGGGCTATCTTCCTTTTCGTCAACGGCTGCTCTTCATTCCGCGCACTCTCACCAATGGCTTTACAAAGCAGACGCAGTTCTTTCAAACTCGTACTTTAAGGTATTCCATTTGAAGCTGAATCAAAATATTTCTTTTTAGGATACTTTGATGCGCGAAAGCTCACAATTTTTATCCTCACGCGATTCGCTTGGAGGCCACAACTCTAGTGGGTTAAAGGTATTGGGAAAATTTTAGTTGTAGTTTTAGTTTGTATCGCTGACGTTGTGGTCTATTCACTTGTCGCATCAATCGCAAACCCACCAAGCAACGTCCAAGTATGGGCAAAACGTATAAAAACTGTCGTCGGGTAGCTGTCTAAACTTTTTCAAGGTCCGGTGTTATCTAGTTATTTTGTTATTTAACGAGCTTTGTCGATTTTATTGGTAAATTATCATTTAGGCATTTTTATCTTTTGTGCGCAATAAATATTTACCAACTAAGTTGTATCTTATCGCATGGTTTAAAACCGTATATTTGCTACAATTTCAGTTATTATTTTTATGGTTGGCATGGTGTATGTCTTTAACCTGTCAATTTTTAGTCTGCTAAGTTTAACAAAAACGACGCGAAGATGCCGTTTATGCACGGAGCGATGCCTCTAAGGCGAACATATTACTTCCTTCAACAAGGAAAAATACACTTTCGAGACAATGTCGCCGTAAGCGTTTCACTTTCTCACAAAATTTATCGCCATTTAGGTTTTTGCGATGAGTTTCCATTTGAGACCGAAAGCCGAACAAAAAGGAGCTAGAGATTTCATATTCTGGCATTGGGCCCAATTGCAGGTTGTTTAGAATTCATCGTGATTTACAATATGATTTTAGCACAACAATCCGACGGTTCAGCTTGTCAAACATAGAGACATGGTGATCACTCCTTTTGCAAGAGCTTATTTAAGTTAGTATTTTTTTTAACTGCTTAGAAATTTATTTAAAAACACAGAAGACGGACGCGAGGTTCTTTTTGACTTGGAAGGCATGAATCGTGAAGAAATCGAGCAACACATAATCAAAACTTTGGGGAAAACGGAATTGGTCAGTATTTTCAAAAGGAAAAGCCAGGATGATTGACAAATTGCAGGTTCGAAAACGAGAGTCATTGGAAGCTATAGCCAAAGTGAATCCAGCAGATTTTGGTTCGAACTGTGGACGACAGTGCATGTGTGAAGTTAGTTTTAATTTTTGGAAAGCTTCAACATGATAACCATATGTATGGAAACTTTTTTTAGGTACAAGGACAACATCCGTGCACTGGTATGATCTATGCGCCAAAAGTGCTCACTGGCAAATATCGCTGGAATCACAATCTTCTTTGAACTTTTTTTGTACACTTAGTTAGATAGTAAATAGGCTTGTACTCTCATCAAATACGGGTCGTTGTTATTTTGAAGCAACTTTGAATAAAGGGATGATTTGCATATATCCAAAAACACCAAAAAAACGTCAAAGTACGAAACATCATTTTGTTCAATGGCGAATCAGGCTTCGGTGACTTCGGTGATTGTGGGACAACGGCAGGTTTGGATTTTGTTTTTAGAGTAGTTAGTTTTTAGTTTACGAGCAAACAGCTTTTCTTTGCATGTTTTGCATTTTTTACAAAACAGGTGGTAACTAATTGTAAGCTGTTCAACCTGGCTCAAATTTTTATTTAGCAAGAACCGCTGATTTTGCGTCTGTCGGCACCAGCCCCAGCTACCGAGCGTCCACACGTCACTTGGGCAGCCGATGTTGTTGGTCCGTAAATCTTTTGATTTGAAAGCCCTATAACGTTTTGATCCAGTCTAATTTTTTTATTAGATAACGAGCATTTGGGTCGAATGAAGTCGAATTGCTGCTGCATTTATACTCGTCCACGACAATGGGATGACCCCAGCACTTGGGAGCAAGACGAACACGAGGTATTGTTTATTTATTTAGTTCGTAAAATAATCAATTATTCTCTTAGACCGAGCATTGTCGTGGCCACACCCTTCCCCCACCCGGAGATAAGGTTCTGCTTTCCATTTTCTCCATATGGCCTCAAAATAAAACATTTTTATTTAGGGTTCACACTCTGGACACGGATCAAAGTGTTGCTGAATGATCAAAGTCGTCTCTTTTCAATTAAGCGAAAGTTGAACCAGAATAAATGAATTTCTTTTCATAAATGCTTTATTTGAAATATGAAATCCGCACATTAATTGGGATGAAGATTTGGAAAAGCTAGGAACCTAACAAAAGAGAAGAAAAAATATAGCCCTTGCCAAAACATTAGATGATCACTAGAGTTAATCGGCCGTTAAAACCAGTCTCATTCTGTGAACATTTCCAATAAACAGCTAGAGTTAACGAAACCAGTCCATTTAGGGCTATCAATCATTCGCTGTTGATTCCGTTTTCTTTCTCGAAATAATCGTCAAGAGGTCAGGGAAACGCGGTTGATAAACATTGATAGAACTATAGCAGATCATCAAAAAAAGTTATACGGCTATTTGAAATGCTTTTTGTATTGGGTTTGATTTCTTTGTTGACTTTTATCACCTGGCAATACTACAAGAAGACAAAATTACCGCCAGGTTTGCAAAGATCAGCTTTACCTTAAATGTAAAAGACTATAATTTATTTGTTTTGAAAGACTACGCCATTTAGCATTCTACATCTACTATTTTTAGGTCCTTATCCATGGCTTTTCTTTGGTAACATCCCTGAACTTCTCTACTTGAGCCTCTTTGAGAAGTTAGATATTTTGGAGATCTATCAATGGTTGATGCAAAAATATGGAAAAGTTTGTAATATTAGAAGGTATTGAATCAAAAAGTTAGGTTTTTACTTTATGGCTCGGTCCAATGCCAACAGTGAATATTTGTGATTACGAAGTGATGTACGATGTTTTTGTTCGCAGAGGCAATGAGCACAGTCGACGATACGAAGTGCCGTTTCTTTGTCTCCCGAGAAGTGGTTGGTTTCATGCAATGGATCATTCTAGCCACAAACGGCTTATCGTAGCTTGTAAGATTTGTCGTAAATACTCTAATAGAAGCCCCTATGGGAGCGTCGCGTAGTCTAGGTTTACTCTCAAACATGCGCTCATAACTCGACACTAGTACGTTTGTTTCTAGGCGTTTGAGTATCAAATTAAAGTAGAGAGAATGGGTGTTATTTTAAGATATAACACATATTTTTTAGCCTTAACCAGCGCCTAGAAAAAAAGGGTTAAAAAGTGCCAAAAATAAACGATTTTTCATCATTTTTCAATGATTTTGTCGAAGACGTAAATCAACATCAAGTAACTAACGATTAATTACGGTGTAAAAATATAGATTTAGCTTGATTACGATAGCTGGAGCATACTTTAAACCAAGATCAGTGTTTAGGAGAAGTGAGAAAATGTTCATTTTAGACAACAGTGGTAAAATCCATGGTGTGATGATGTCAAATGATGACCTCTGGAATGAACACCGAAAATTCATTGTGCGTGTCTTGAAAAATTTTGGAATTGGAAAAGGGATTATCGAGGATCGAATCATGGATGGTAAAAAAAGAGCTGAAAAACAAGTAAATTGAAATTTCCAGAGTTCGAGCGTCAATTTGCCGGCGTTGAGAAGAAAATGGAGAATGGATCGGCGACAATCGACTTCTCGAAACTCGTCGATCTTTGCATTGGAAATACGATCAATCGAATCATTTTTGGGTATCGTTTTGATGAGGTGAGTGCCTGTTTGAGGGTTCGATTTTTCGAATTCGATTGGGTTGGTGAATAAAAAGCTGCCGGACTTTGAACTAAAATTTATTGAACATAAAACCATCAATTCATTCCAAATAATTTCCATTATTATTGACGACTTTTACAGGCAATTTGCGGATTCCTCTTTCTTAGTAGGATTTTGGTTTGTGTGTGAGACAAGTGTGAGACTCAAAAATGGAGGACTGGAGATGTCCCAGTTTGAGCATTTTCCTCAAAAGAAACCCATTTTGGTGTCAATAGGAAAGTTGTAGAGAATCAAAAATTAGGCTTATAGCCAAATTTCCAAAAAGATACACTTAGTAGTTTCGCTTAAAATGTAAGTTTTGTTGCAAGCTTTGTGAAAATTCGTAAATTTGACATTTCTTGAAAACCAGTTTTTGAATCGTTCTGAAAGTTTGGATATAAGGTTAATTTTTGATTCTCTACAACTTTTCCATTGACACCAAAATGGGTTTCTTTCGAAGAAAGTGCTCAAACTGTCACATATGTCAATAGCCGGCAGTTTTCAATTCACCAACCCAATAGTATAAAACTAGGAATATTTTTTGAAATTTTCTTTTTTCTTAGCATATCCCGTTCCTAGATGGGTAAAATCATACTTTCACAGATTTCATTGTATCTTTTTTATTGTTTTGATAGAATGATAGAATTTGGTAGATTCTCGAGTTATCACTAAACTTTCAGGATAACTACAAAAATTTCCATTCGGTGAAAGTCCCACTGGACGAAGCCTACGCAAACGTGACCACATTTCATAATTTTCTTCGATCTTGGTTTAAAAGTTTACCATATTTAAACAAGTATGCATTAAGTTTTGAAACACTTTTTAATTGTTTCTCAGATTTTACGACAATATCATGATCCCACAGGAAAAAGTGCTTAAATTCGCCGAAATGGAGGCGAAAAAGAGGTGACTCTAAATTTAAATCAAAATAACAGCTTTTTGGAGGCATGAAGCTATTGAGAATGGAACTTACTCATTGGAGGGTGAACCGATGGATTTTATTGATGCTTATTTGATGGAACAGAGGAGATTGGGAGGGAATGAGACGACAATGAAGTGAGCTGATTGTTGAGTTGGGTCGAGAGTTATGTCGAATGAAATTTCCATTTACCAGCGCCTTCGCTTTGTGCGGATTTGATTTCAAATTGTAGCCCTTCAATTGGGCTACACAATGGTATAAAAAAGTTTTAGAAAAACTGTTGTTTAGTACAAGAAAAATGGCCGGAAAGTGAGAGCACCATACAAAAGAGAGTCGGTGCGCTCACTTTGCGACCATTTTTCTTGGACTAAATAACAGTTTTTCTAAAACTTTTTTATACCATTGTGTAGCCCAATTGAAGGGCTACATTTTGATACCAGACTCGTGCAAAGGGAAGGCGCTGGTAAATGGCGATTTCATTCCGCGCAATCTTCATGGTCTTGTTTTTGGTTCTAGGTACATTGTGCTTTAGGTCCTCTGTAATATAATATTTGTATATCAAATCTGTACTTGTAATACTCTGTAATCTGTATATCAAATGCATTTTTCAGTGATTTCGGCCTTTATACAGACATTCTCGATCTTTGGGTGGGCGGTCAGGAAACGACTTCGTTAACGCTCAATTGGGCTTTCATCTTTTTGCTCAGACATCCAGAAGTTGTTGAGAAATGCAGAAAAGAGGTTAATAATGGTTAAAAATGCTCTATTCTGGAGGATTTCTCTACTCCTGAAAGTAATTGATCTTCCTCAAAAACAGATCCACATGGCAACTGACGGAATTCGAGACGTCCGTGTTTCGGATAAAGAGTCGACTCCGTATGTGAACGCTACTATCACAGTAGGGGAATCTAGTTGAATCCTTTAAATTGATTGTTTTCTGTATTCAGGAAATTCTAAGACTTTCGCATATTTTAAACTTAAACTTGATGAGAGAAACGATCGGTGAATCAAAATTTGGTGATTACACAGTGCCAGCTGGGACCAAGTTCTCTCCAGTTGTCTCTGTGATCATGATGGATCCAAAGAATTTCGAGCAACCGAATCAGGTTTGAAACAAATGATAAAAGAGGACGGGAATGACCGTGTAATAATCTCATTGACAATTGCTCCCTGAGACGGTGGCGACGATTACAGAAATCACTCCAGCGAGTATTGTTTTTGAAAGCCTCGTCGCTGTATCAAATGGCATTTTTCTAAAGCGGGCATTGAAAAAAATAGAAGGATGCAAGAAAGCAGACATATTTTTTGGATTTCAATTGTAACCAAACTTCCAAAATTTTCCACTGCGAATTTATTAGATTGTTCGGAGATAAACGAGCGTTTGCACTGCTTAACTTGTGAGGAAGCCATTTCCCGTATCTGATCGCCTTTCCAATAACGTGTAGATGCTCGTCAATGGTAGAATTTGAACATAGAAACTGTTGAGCAAATTCACGCGTCGTTTGACATGGATCCGATTCGATTGCAGCCGTCAAAGTATCGTTGTCTACCGCTTGAGGTCAACGAGAGTGTTCATCATCCTCGAGACTTTCATCACCATTCCGAAAGCGTTGGAATCAGGCTCGGTATCGGCTTTCGAACAATGCATCATTCCCAAATGCTTTGACCAAATCTCGATGGGATCCGCGACTATTTTGCCCAGTTTGAAGTCGTAAAGTAGACGCGAACTTGATATATTTGAAGTCGGTCATCTAAAGAATAATAAATAATGATTTGATCTGTCTTCGCACTTAGCGCAGATCACAACCCGCTTCCACATTTACTGAGGCAGAAGTGTAGTTGTCGTAGCCGATGATACTCCGATGGCCGGGCTGGCGGTCATCTAAAGAAAGAAAAAAGATCTTAAAAATAAGAAATTATCCGTTTAAAAAGATTCCAAATATACACAAGATAACGTACTTTTAAATACAGAAAGACATATTTTAAAAGCTTCCCTCACAACAATAAGTTTAGTAGCGCTTGTTTATATCCGAACAGCCTAATACATCGTTTTATAGAATCGTTTTTACAATACTTCTAGTGTTGAATGTATTAGAATTATGAAGAATTTAGCTTTATTTTAATCTATAAGCCTTTTCCCGCGCCTCTAATCTATAAGCCTTTAATCTAAAACCTAATCTATAAGCCTTAGTTTCGCCCGGAGCGTTTCATCGAGAACCCATCGAAAGCCGAATTGGTGGTCCCATTTCTGATCGGGCGACGCGTTTGCTTCGGAGAACCACTGGCGAGAAACGAACTCTATCTAGTAATTTAAAAATTTGACCCTGATCCAATTTTATATTTAGTTTATCACGAATGTTCTGCAACGCTATGCAATTGCTGAGGATCCCAAATGTCCACTCGAAAAAGAGGTTCGTGTTCGACTCGACGGATGGATAAATCGAGTGAAACCATATAAAATGAAACTTACAAAGTTAAACTAATAAATCTTTTCAAAATCGCATTTATATTTACAGTTAGAGTGTGTTCTTCATGTTTTTTTAAAACCCACACTATTACCGTACTTTTAGCGAAAATATTGCAAAATAACGAGCGCCGGCTTATATACGCCTTTTAAAGATATTCAGCCGTTTAACTGAGTGGGAAATTCCCATCAAATGTAAAGATATTTAATTTGCTCGACGTGTAAAGAGGATTACTCGTAGTTGCTTGACCGGGGTAGGCTAATTTCCGCCATTTTATTTCCGCCAACTGGGTCTTTTGCGCAACTAGCCATAACTTTCTTCTAAGTCAGCCAATCTTTATGATTTTGGTGTCATTTTGTAGATCTCAATAAGTGCAAAAAAATTATTTATGCAAGTAATCACTTACTCTATTTACAGTCACTTTTAACAAAGCAGTTTTGCAAACTTTGACCTAATCAATGCTGTTATCGCTTAGATCAAACGCTCCCCTTTTGCTTTGCTGTTCTCTTTGCGTCAAAAATTGCATCACGAAAAACACATTCTCTTGCAAAAAAAAAACGCCAACTCATCGCTATAAATCGTTAAGAACAAAGTTTCATTTGTTTATTTATCTAGCATTAACTTTTATTAAATCAAAAATTCTGCTAAATGATTCGAAATCGAACTCGAGAAGGCTCTGATGATGAACGGGAAAAGGAAGATGGTAAATGTTTATGATTTCTTTGTTCAATAGAAAGCTCTTGGTTTTATTGTCTTTTAAAACTTGGGTAAACTTGGGTAAACTTGGGTAAACTTGGGTAAACTTGGGTAAACTTGGTTTTAATGTCTTTTAAAACCTGGGGGTAAAACTTGGCACGTTTTTTGAAATGAAATTTTTCTTCAATTAACAACTTCAAATCATGCAAGACAACTGATAACTTTTCTGCTATTTCACGAAAAGAAAGACTGTTGATTTGAAAAGTTTCGAGCAACTTGTCATTATCCAATTGGACTGTTGGATGACCCCTTACTTTCTCTTCATCTTCGGAACTTAACAAACCAGTTTGCATGTCCGTCGTGAAGATAGGGATAGGGAACCAAATTTAGAGAGATAGCGAAACAAATTTAGAGAGATAGCGAAACAAATTTAGAGAGATAGGGAACCAAATTTAGAGAGATAGGGAACCAAATTTAGAGAGATAGCGAAACAGATTTAGAGAGATAGCGAAACAAATTTAGAGAGATAGGGAACCAAACTTCTTGAGATCCTTTCGCGTAAACATTGTCAATATTAGCTGAACACTAAAAGCCCTTGTATCGTTTTTTCAAATTTAATTTTGCCTGCCAAGTCATATTCAACAACCCAATCAATAACACAATAAATAGTTTTATTTAAAATGAAACTACCAGACGATTTCAGTTATAAAATAATGCGGTTAACATTCAAAATCAAAGCAAAGACTGAAAGCAAAATGTTATCTGATTGAATAAATGCACTTTAACCTTTTGGTTGAAGCTTTGTGCAAAGAAGAAGCAATTTTTCCGCCTTTTCATTCAATGATTTTGATTCGATTCGGAATTTAAACATTTCTGCAACATTTCCGCTATCAAACAAACTAAAAACAGTTTCAATTTAGATCAAAAAACGATGGGTGATCGAATAGCCGAGCAGCCGGGAAGATTCGCCTTTTTAACGATTCTTTCAGCTTGGCTTCTTTATCTTTTTAGTCTTTTCCGAAAGCAGTAGAATTACTTTAAATTGTCATTAGTAATTTATTGAAAGAATTTTGCATTCCTCTTCTTTGAATTAATTTGTTTATTTAATAAAATTTTGTCGAGAAAGATTGCTGCTGTTTTCTAAAAGCAAAAGAAATGAAATAATGGAGAAATGGAGCAAGTTTGAAAATCATTTTCATTGAAAAATGATTTGAAACTAGTTTGTTTGCTTGCTGTCCGTTTACGCTCTGCTTTACTCAAAAGGAATCTGTTTAACTCCACAAAAAGAGTCTGTTTAACTCCACAAAAGGAGTCTGTTTAACTGTTTAACCAAAAGGATTAACCAATTCTATTCCTATAGAAGATCAAGTTTCACTAACCGAAGCTTTCTAGATCTCTGAGATCTCTTCAGATTAAACCCTTTATTTCTAACCGATTACAGTTCTTAAGTTTCCAATAAACGGCAATTTTTCTTCTTCTATTTAGCTATTATTTTAAACACTTTCAAATAATGTAATCATACTTTTTTCAAAAGATTTCAACCAATAATAATAGATTTTCAATATTATAATCAAGCGAGCGATGAAAAATCTTTGAGCTTTAATGAAAATGAAAAACATCTTATGTTTTAGCTCTTTTTATAGATACAGGGTGCGGCATAAGTATGGTTACAGACTCAGAAACGTGTATCGTAATGAAATATGAACGGATTCATGTAAATTTGTGCTCCAAGCTGAAGAATAGTGGCATGGTTGGGAGAAGCCTTCACCATCATGTCCAAACTTAAAAATTTGCTTAAAAACTGCTACATAATATAAAAAAGCATTCAAATTTAAAAAAAACAATCATTTGGCAAGAAATAAAAATCAATCAGTTTCTTAAATCAATGTTACAACCTTGTAACTTATGCCTATGCCTAATCAATGTTACAACCTTGCCTACAATGCCTAATCAATGTTACAACCTTGCCTACAATGCCTAATCAATGTTACAACCTTGCCTACAATGCCTAATCAATGTTACAACCTTGCCTACAATGCCTAATCAATGTTACAACCTTGTAACTTATGCCGCACCCTGTACAGAGTGCGCCAAAATTTCCCGTACTTGTATTTTCTGTATTTTTGGTGATGTTAGATAAAAGATACAATTTTAAAAGTAAGAAATTCGAATTCCTCGCGAAAACTGATTTAGAAAACGTTTCAGGTTAATTTACATAAGTGCATTTGTATAAGTGCAACACTATTTAAGACAAGTGATTGAGAAGAGGGTCCGCACAGGGGCGCTTTGGTCGCACATTTTTTTGGGGCTTCAGGCCCGTAACTTTTATGGAACAAAAGATTTTCAAGAGCCAAGATGTTTTTCGAAAACTAGACATAAAATGTGACATTTTTTATATTGGGTGTATAAAGTTTTGGTCAACGACCGAGTCAGAAATCAGGTTTTGGTCAACGACCGAGTTAGAACTTGGTTTTCCCATACAAATTTCCATCAAAGGAAATAACTGAGCGACTAAAGCACCCCTGAGCGGACCCTCTTCTCAATCACTTGTCTTAAATAGCGTTGCACGTATAAATTAAACAGAAACGTTTTCTAAATCAGTGTTTCGCGAGGAATTCGAATTTCTTACTTTTAAAATTGTATCTTTTATCTAAAATTACCAAAAATGCAGAAAATACAAGTACGGGAACTTTTGGCGCACCCTGTAGAAAAGATCTTTTATTGAAGTCAGAAGAAAGTGTTTGATAAATTCTCATCTTTTATTGGCAATCTTTTAACTTTGTAATTTTGCATAAAACTAGAAAAAGAGAACGTGATTGCTGCTTATTGTTTGCACTTTTGTTAGAAATTTTTTGTTCTGTTACTGCATGGCTGATTATTCGTTGCGTGCAAATTCTCAAAAACGACACCCAACCCTAGCAACGTTGTTGATTTGTCCTTGCATTGGTCAGAGAGCAAAAAGGGCATTTTTTTTTAGAGCAACCCCCGCACTTTTAGTGTTCAAAACGTAAACAATTGCATTTCTAGACTTTTAGATTTCTAGATTTCATTCTAGATTTTACCCTTCACTTCTATTGGGTTGTCCAGTTATGAATGCGCGTTTTTTACTATTTTGTAAATTTCTCAAGATACCGAAATGAAGAAAAAGATATATATGAGTATTATTCGAAAGCTGAAGATCTCCTCTACATTTTGATATAAAAAGCTTTTGAATTTGTCCAGCTTTTGGGCAAATTGACTGCACAGAAGAAGAGGTGGCCAAAAAATGGAAGGGTGTCTTTGGATCAAGACCTTTTCTCTACAATTTGGTTCCTTTTCTCTACAAAATGGAAGGGTGCCTTTGGATCAAGTTTTGACTCCGCTCAAGTTGAGTTAACCGTTTAATGTTTGACTAATAGATATATCAAAACAACTTTTTTTTAAAATATAACAATTTTAGAGCATCTTTACTTTTCTTTTCTTTTCTGGGCGGTTATTTTACACCATAAAACTTGAGGAATAGCTAAGCTGGAATGGGTTTTTTTTCGGAAACGACCTCTCCCTTTGTGCAGTCAAATTCACCAAAATGTTGAATGAATTCAAAAACTTTTTTATTCGAAAATGTAGAGGAGATCTTCAGCTTTCGAATGATATATAACACTCATAAACATCTGTTCGATACCTTGAGAAATTTACAAAATAGTCAAAACGCGCATTCATAACTGGACAACCCAATACATCAACTAAAATTTTGGTTTTAAGAAAAATGAGCAATCGGGCGGTGGCTGTTTTGAGGGGAGATGTCGGCGTTGAAGGAGTTGTTTGGTTTAAACAGGTTTGGCTTACAAAAAAAATTGCTAAATTGCCTCAAAATAGCAACTGAGCACAGAAAAATTTGGTGAAACTTGTTTTATGATAAATTTAGCGTTAAAGGAGAACGGCATTTTGCAAAAAAGCTAGCGTTTTACGGATCATGTCGCACATCCGCGCGAAAATGTGTTTTCTATAGGATTTGAATAGCCGATTGACGCAGAAAAATGTGCTGAATTCGAAAATAAAAGAATTTTTGAAATCCCTTCGACAAATTTTTTAAAAATCCAGTTTTAGTGATTTTACTGTGTTAAATTTCAGCCATATTTTATTGTCGGAGCAAAATCTTGGAAACAAAAGCCTAAAACAAAAATGTAAACCGCAAGTTTTATTCTACGGGCTTTTCTCTATCTTTTGATACCAAAAGCATAAAAATTGATAAACCCTATAAAAAGTTATAACCTTTTGAAAATAAAAATGTGGTTCCTGGGTTATGGTACACTATAACGCGGATAGATTACCGTAACCCCAAAGAGAAAAAGAGCAAAATGAAAGCAAAAAGCTTTTTTTTACTACAATCAAACCATTTTCGCTATTTTTCTTCTTTTCAAGATGATGTGTCGATCTTTGTGGATTTAAGTAAAGTTGTGCGACATGTCGCTTAACGGGGAGGACACGATTTTAGCCTATCTTCAACCCGCCTTTTCATTACCCTAAAGTTGAGCAATTTTAAAGTTTAAATAAGATTTGGATAGCTTAAAATTTGCTCTTTCCAAATCTATTTGTGTTTTTAAAAATTGATTCCAAAAAAGTGTTTAAATCATGGGTTGAAGTTAGGGTAAATTCGTGCGCCCATGTTTAAGCGATTCACTAACGAATTTAGCCAATTTTTTCCTAAATTAAGCAATTCCGAGAGTGTTTTTTTCGATTTAGCAGTGCATAACATCCAGGACTTCGCGGAAAGAAAGTTATGCTGTCGGTCTTTTGGAATATGAAAGGAATCGTTTATTTTGAATTACAAAAATCTTCAAAAACTATAACTTCTCAAATCTACGCCGAACAGCTGAAGAAAGTTGATGAAATTCTACGAGAAAATCGAGAAAATAACGCTTATATCTCAGCGCTAAACAAAGATATCAAAAAAAAGCTAATTGCATAATCGAACTCCGACTCTGGCTACAAAAACAAGTCAAAATGTCAAAATTCGGTCAAACTGTTGTTCAATTTTAGTTTTAATCTTTTCTTTTAGGATCATGAAAATGAGCCAGTGAAAATCGAGGGCTCAATCTCGGGGCTAAGTCCGGGAAAACATGGATTCCACGTGCACGTATATGGAGACTCAACGAAAGGCTGTGAATCAGCCGGCCCACATTTCAATCCATTCAATAAAACGCATGGATCACAAGAGGTTATTATAAAAAAACATCTAATATCGAAAAATCAAAGACAATACAATTTTACGTTGTTAAAGTCTTTCTTTCAGGATGAAAATCGTCATGTTGGTGATCTTGGCAACGTGGAGGCGAATGAGAATGGTTATGCAAAGTTTGTGATCACTGACAATATGATCAAAGTAACGAATAGTCAAGTAGCTTAAAAAAACAATCAGAATTCAGCTTCATGGACCAAATTCAGTCATTGGACGATCGATGGTGGTGCACGTAGGGGAAGATGATTTGGGTGAGGAATTTTCAGAGATTTTTTTTTCAGAAATTACTTTAAAGACAAGCTAGAAGTCAGGCCGAGTTTGGTTTTTAGTCTTTTTCTTATTAGTTACTGGTAATACTATTAGAATCCAGTTGAAATATACTGAAAAAGAGACAGTAAAGTGATGAAGGAGTACTGTAGCTTGTCTACAAGATTGATAATAAGTGTTTGCTTTAGGAAAAGGCCAAGGTGAGAAAGCGGAGGAATCGCTGAAGACGGGGAATGCGGGAGCGCGAGCCGCTTGTGGTGTCATCGCTCTGGCTGCACCACAAGATTGACTCGAGGTTGATCCAAGGATTTTCTTTGGATCAAGACCCATTTGATTTTTAAAGGGTTTCTTTCTTTTCTTTTGTTTTTAAATTGTTTCTTTTGTTTTTGCAACAAATTTGAGCTAAAAAACAACGATTTCGATGATAACTTTCAACTTTTTAAAGTCTTCATCACTTTTGAAATGTTTTTAAGAAGCTAAATTAGTTATATTTGAATTTCTAAGAGTTCAAAACTGACTAAGTTTTAAAAAAGACATTTTTCGAGTGTACTTTATGGTTGAGACTTTAAAAAAAATCAAAAATGAAATGAGAAAGAAAAATTCTGAATTCTTTGGAAGCTCTATCGATTTTTTAAATGTTTAAATATTTATTTAAACAATTCCAATCTGATTTTCGATCAGATTATAACATTTTTTGTGGTATAAAATGTTTTATTTTACTTTCAACAAGTTGTTTACGCATATCAAAGAGAAGAAAGAGAAGAAAAAGGCTAAAAAAGAAGTGATCAACAGAAAAATAATACTTTGCACTTTTCCCCAAACGCCTTCCTCAAAAATTTCAACACAATTTTACTCATTGCTATCAAAATTCTCAAATTTAGATTATTTTCCTTTATTTTTCATTTATTTTTGAAGAATTTCCGTGAAAATGAGCAGAGCGGTGGCTGTTTTGAAGGGCGATACCGGTGTTGAGGGAGTTGTTTGGTTCAAGCAGGTTTCTTCTAACAAAAAATAATCTCTAAATCTTATAAAAGCTTTAAACCGACTAGCCTTCTACATAAATTATTAGAAAATAAGCGGAAAAAGATTAGTAAGCTTAGGAGTTCGTTGAGTTTCTTTGAATCAAGCTCAACACATCAACCTTAGACCTTAAGCCCAGTGAGAATGAGGATTTCTGTGTGCAAATTTAAACACCTTAAAGTTATTTGTAAAGAATGGTGCTTGTTTTAGGAAAATGAAAGAGATGAAGTGCATATAAAGGGCCGAATCATGGGCCTATGTCCGGGTAAACACGGCTTTCACATTCACGTTTATGGTGATTCGACCGATGGCTGTACTTCAGCCGGTTCACACTTCAATCCATACAATAAACAACATGGAGGACCTTTTGTAAGTTACCGTGAAAAACAAAAACTGTAATAGAAACCCATGGGATTCTATTAGGTTGAGGCAAAAGTCTTTTCATTTTTTCGTACTTCCGTTAAAAAGAACAAAGCCAATTGAACAACGGTTATGCATTCGAAAGGCCAATTATTTTCTGCAAAATGACATAAAACGAGTTTAAAATGTCTTATGTCAGGATTTTTGAGAGCCTGAAGTCGGGGAGGCCAAAAAGGCGACGGCTCGATGATGCATTTTAGACGCTTTAGCTAAGGAAACCAATCTTGATGTTAATAAATAAAAGATAGAGCACAAAAGTTGATATTTTTCAGTTTTTCAGAGAAATTGATCAGCCAATTTCTTTATAGAGCTTTATAGATTTTATGAAAAACCCGTTTTCACTCTCGAATTTGCTTGAAAGTGAACCCAAATTGACTTAAAAAGATGGGAAATTCAACAATAAGACACTTTTCATTTAGAGCAAACCATAGGTTAATTGATGACTTTGTTATTTTTCAAAAGAAGTACGAACAAAATGAAAAAGACTTTTGCATCAACCTAATATTTTTCAACCCTCCAAAATCGGCCAGCCTAAAAATGGTTGGTTAAATGAAATTTTGTGAGTAATCTAACTCTACCCAGCCTGCCCAGCTGGGTGATAAAGCTAGAGTAGCACGTTTTCAAACACTAGAGCTACCGTAAAACGACCGTAAAACTATCAAGCACTAATAGAAGTCAATGGTCTTGTATTTTTCAACCCTCAAAAATCGGCCAGCCAAAAAAGTAGGTAAGGTAACACATCGAAAATTTCAGTTTTCATAAAAATCACTTTACGTTATAGCATTTGGTCTCAAATGTACGAAAAACGAATTTAAAAGTGAAATACAGTCGACTCTTGATATAACGGTTCTCTCGGGACCGCAAAATGTAATCGTTATATCGAAAATCGTTATATCAAGAGTTGAATCTTAAGGTTCTACTGCTGCTGGGATCTGCTGGGACCAGAGTTCTGAATCGTTATATCGAGACTCGTTATATTGAGAGTCAACTGTAACTTCCTTACCCGCTTCTTAAGATTTTACTAGGAGCCTGCTGGGACCAGAGTTCTGAATCGTTATATCGAGAGTCGTTATATTGAGAGTCAACTGTAACTTCCTTACCCGGTTCCCATAAGTGATCTTCTGAAAAAATTCCTGTCGGCCCCAGCATTCATTATTCATTTTTATGCTCAAATCTAGAGAGGAGTCAAATGATGAGCTAGAAGTCAATATTGCGAGGGTTCAGGGCTTCCATTAGAGTTTTTACGGTATCTAAAGAACAAAACCTCTTGAATATCAAACTTTTTCTGGATGACAATCGCCATGTTGGCGACTTGGGCAACGTGTTGGCCAACACTGATGGAGTGGTGATTTTCGATTTGATTGATCATCAAATCAAGGTGAGATTGGTCAAGGAAATCCTGAATTTGTCTATTCTAGATCTTCAAGAAACAAAGCAACTTCTAAATCAAAAAAATAGTTCTGTAAACTTCAAAAGTTTTTCTAGTTATTCGGCGAGCATTCGGTGATCGGTCGCTCAATGGTCATTCATGCGAAAGAGGATGATTTGGGTGAGTGAATCAAATTAGAATCAAATCTTTATGACAAAAAAAGTTGACTCAATAATGTCCTAATTTTACTTAAGCAACAAATAGTTTAATATATTGTGTTGGTGAATTGAAAACTGCGGGACTTTGAACTAAAATTTATTCAACATAAAACCATCAATTCATTCCAAATAATCTCCATTATTATTGACGACTTCTGCCCATTTTACAGGCAATTTGCGGATTCCTCTTTCGTAGTAGGGTTTTGGTTTTGAATCGAAAAACTTTTCGAGACTGCTTCTTCCGAATCTGCTTCCAATTTTTGCGAGACTGCTTCCAATTGCGAGACTGCTTCCGAGAATGCTTCCAATTTTTGACTGCTTCTTCCGAATCGAAGTGTTCTCCCGAAAGCTCATTACTCATAGTCCGGAATAAATAGTAATCAGAAGGGGCAAGGTCCGGACTGTATGGGGGATGTGCCAAAGGTTTATTTTAGAGCGAGTCAGTTTTGAGCAACATGAGGGCGCGCGTCGTCGTGGAGGAGAACGATCTTTGACTTGAAGGGCCTATTCTTCTTTAGGGATTCATTCATCTTTTCCAACTGTTCACTGTATTTGGTTGCATTAAGGGTCGTCTTATGGTCGACTATGACAATCGACAATCCGATTTTGGTTTGTGTGTGAGACAAGTGTGAGACTCAAAAATGGAGGACTGGAGATGTCCCAGTTTGAGCACTTTCCTCAAAAGAAACCCATTTTGGTGTCAATAGGAAAGTTGTAGAGAATCAAAAATTAGGCTTATAGCCAAATTTCCAAAAAGATACACTTAGTAGTTTCGCTTAAAATGTAAGTTTTGTTGCAAGCTTTGTGAAAATTCGTAAATTTGGGCATTTCTTGAAAACCAGTTTTTGAATCGTTCTGAAAATTTGGATATAAGGTTAATTTTTGATTCTCTACAACTTTTCCATTGACACCAAAATGGGTTTCTTTTGAAGAAAGTGCTCAAACTATCACATCTGACAATAGCCAGCAGTTTTCAATTCACTAACCCAATAGTTACTCGAGTAAAATTTGCATGAGTAATCTTTACTCGATTAATCGGCATTTTTGGTCGAGTAACTACGAGTAATCCTCTTTACACAGCGAGTAAATTGAATATCTTTACATTTGAAGGGAATTTGCCACTAAATAAGTTGAACGGTTGAATATCTTTAAAAGGAGTCGTATATAACGCGGCGCTGGTTATTTTTGCGTTAATTTTTTGCAATAATTTTCGCTCAAACTATCACATCTGACAATAGCCAGCAGTTTTCAATTCACCAACCCAATATCTGTTATAGGAAAAGGTGAGGGTGATGCGCGGGAAGAATCGCTGAAAACCGGTAATGCCGGTTCAAGAGTGGCTTGTGGTGTAATTGGCATTGCTGGACCAGAAGAAGAATGAATCATTTCTACAAAAATAAGTGTTCTAGCTTTAGTTGATCTTCAAGCTGTTTAAAAGTTGAAGATTTTTTGAGGTTTCATTTCCTTTTCAAGAGCTTTCTGGGTTGTGATTGATTACTTGAATAACATTTATCCATTTTTGTGACTTTCTGAACTTTCAATGATTTCTTTAGATTTTCAATACATTTCTTTATATAATTTCTTTATATAATTCCTTTAATATAATTCCTTTATCATTTTTTCAATCATAAAAAACACAAAACAAAATTTGAAAGACAATAAAAGAAACTTTTAAAGAAATTTTGATAAAAAAAGACAATAAGAAGAACAATAAGAAGACTTTTTTACAGAAATTTCTATTTTATAATTTTAAATCTTCAGATCTAACTCGAATTTGGTTAAGAATTTGATGTTTCAAGATATGATTGAGATTGAGATCGGATTCAATTTTTGACTCCGGAAGTGAGCGATTTTTCTTTCGTTTCCGGCCACAATTTCTCAATTCTTCACGAGAAACAAAGCGCTCGAACTTCATAAAAGAGAAACATTTGCGTCGAGTCCAATAGGTGAACGGATCCTAGAAGAATTTGATGGATTTCAGAGCCTTCAGAGCTCCGGGAAAAGTTCCGACGGCGTCTCTGATCTTTACGGAGGCATCTTTGATCATATGAAGTAACCCTTCACCTACTGGACTCTTTCTTTCTGGTAAAACGTCCATAATTTTCCCGAGGAGCGTACTTTTCCTTGGAAACTTTTCCTTGGAGATTAGAGTGTGCTCCTTATTGACAGACAATTTGTCAGACAAATTTTTATTGACAACTTTTTTGTCAGACAATTGATCCGACAAACTTCCGACAACGCGTTTTCTAAAAGGTGCGCTTTTTAAGCAAAGCTATAAGGGTCGCAACCGTCCGTTTGTTTCCACAAGCTCTGATTTGCCAAAATTTCGATTCTACGCCCTAAAATTACCTAGAAAAACAATTTTTGGAATAGAAATTGGTTAATATTAGCTTTTAGAGCTTTTTTAAAACGCGAAAAAAGGTGCGCTAATGGGCAAAGTGCGCAAATGTTCGGGTTCGCAAAAAAAAAACTCGCATTTGTCCCACTCCCGTACATTTGCATTTTGAAAAATTTGCTGATGCAAAGCATAGGGTTACGGTAGCTTATCCTTGGTGCGCGCTTTTTACAAAACGCGTTGTCTGCAAGGAACACACTCTATTGGAGATTCCCTCGTAAATTCTTACCGGAGTTTTACCAGACGCTTTCTGGAAGAAAAGTACGCTCCGCGGGAAAACTATGAACGTTTTACCAGAAAGAAAGAGTCCAGTAGGCTCATATGATCAAAGGTGCCTCCGTAAAGATCAGAGACGCTGCGGGAAAGTTTCTCAGAGCGTAGAATACAGGCTCAGGTTAGACAGCCAATTTGCTTAGACACCAAATTTTATTTCATATGCTTGAATTGTATTGGGTTGGGGAGAATGAGTCGGCGCCAAACTTTAAAGGGACTTTTTGCACACATAAAGCCTTCTTTAAATATACGTTTGGTTTCATCAAAAGGATCCACTATTTCTCTACAAAATCACTTTTGAGAGATTCCACAAAGCTTTTCTTTCGTGGAGTTTATGAACTTCCAAAAGCAGCTGGTTAAAATGGCAAAGAGTCCGACTCATCATTTGAACAGTTTCTTTCGCATAAACCTTCTTTGGTGTTTATATAAAAAAGATAGAGCACATTGAATTACTTAAGTTGCCAAATTTGCAGGAAGATCCCACCAATGGTTTTTTCTAAATCACAGTTTGTAGTTTTTGTGAAAAAATGGCTTTTTCTTGAGCGGAGGCGCTGTTTGAATTTTCTTTTAAATGTGATTTTGTAGAGAATTAGTTAACCATTCTACTGATATCAAAAGCATATTATTTGACGAAGTCGAATAGAAGTTTTCGATATTTTTTTGATTTTCGGCGCCGACTCATTCTCCCCAACCCAATAGTTTTAAACTAAAAAACAAACTATCAAATTTCTCTCACCTGTCTGTAACCTTTTCTATTGAATCCAAGAAAGAGTCCCGGCTCAGCAGCACTTTCAATCTCCGTGTATCCAGCTTCGGAAATTCTCTCGTAGAAGTAGCACCCTTTGTTTCGTCTTGATTGCAGCTAAATGATCCGTAAATATTATGCCTTTTTTTACTGAACTTTTTTTTTATAGAAACATCTTAAGTTTTTATAATTAATGAAAGTTTATTATAAAAGATTTCCTTTTATAAGCTAGTTTATTATAAAATCTTTTTATAATTAATAAAAGTTTATTTAGTTTCATTCAAGTTCTATTACATGCAAAAAGGATTATTCAAAAATATTGATTCAGTAAAAAGTTCCAGCCCCAAATACTCTTATAAAAGCCCCTATAGAAGCGTCGCGTAGTCTAGGTTTACTCTCAAACAAACGCTCATAACTCGACACCAGTACGTTTGTTTCTATGCATTTGAGTATCGAAGGAGGGTTAAAAACGTCATTTTTGCTCCTTGTCGGCCCAATTTCTCGCTTTTTTCTTTTCTAGAGTTACTTTAGGCAGCTAATCTTTTTGGGCATCAATATTCATCATGAGATCTATCGAATGAGGCATCACTCATCCCAAACGGTCACCTTAACTTCGGACCATTCCCTTGTAAGTCTCATTCCGAAATCCCTCCTTGAGTTGCACCAAGTCGTGAGTTTTCGATGCGAGGAATCCGATGCTACTTTTAGATTTTCCTAAATAGCACGCAAACGCGAGATCTTAAACAAAAACGCTTTTGGCATATCTATTTCTTACCATATCTTACCTAGTGAGTAAGAGACAAGCCTCTTACTCACTAGGTAAGATATGACAAGCCTCTTACCCACTAGGTAAGATATGACAAGCCTCTTACCCACTAGGCCACCATCTGTTAGGGAAGTGTGGACGCTGAAATAGATATGCCGATTAATATCTCGCGTTTGCGTGTCATTTAGGGAAATCTAAAAGCAGCGTCGGATTCTCCATGAAAAAGCTGCACAAGATCGTCTGAGTTCTATTCCGAAATCCCACCTTGAGTCAGCGGCCTTTCCTACTTAGGTGAGAGAGAGGGGATTCCTCATTTTAATGGGTCTTTGATTAGAATAATTACGGTAACTTTTCTAGAAACAAATGGCCACCATCATTGCCGACTGGTTAAGAGCCTTATATCCTAGTCGGGAAGTCAAGATTTCCGGCTAGATTATTGATTCTTTCTTCTCTACTTTTAGGGCTGCTTCTGTATTTTTTGTATCACATTATTCGTGTGAATAAATATGTTTTTAAATACTTTTTTTGTCTTACCTTAGTGATAAGCTGTCGTCGCCTATTAAAGCAAATATAGACTTTCGAGAGCGCGTGCTGAAGTCTGATCAAACCGGTTGGGCTCGTGTGCACGATGAAGTCAGCTAAATTTCTTTGAGCTTCTTACAAGTCATTTTTGCTATTCTGGAAATTGAACTGTAGATTTCTTTTCAATTTTTCCGTGAATTCCGATTTTGAAACCTTTTAAACAATATGTTTTTGCATTAGAATCACTAAATTACTAAATAAATTCCAGTTTTTGCATAATTTTCTTTAAAAACCAAAGAGATGTCTTACTTTTGTAATGTTTTTGATAAAATATTGTTTGACATTGATTTGATTTGTTTGATATTTGATTGATAAATCAAAAAGGCCGTAATATTGATTGTTTTAAGATAAATCTTCCATTAAGTTACTAAAGTGCTGAACAAAACTAGAATTGTGCTTCATTTGATCGAAAAATTTAATCAAAATTCTTTGTGAAATGACTTTTCTAGGTAAAAGGAAGATACCGTATTTTCTCTAATAGTAGTGCACCCCGTCGAGCCGAGTTAATGACTATTTTACGGTTTCCAAGCTTTTGCAGAGGCTCAACCCTCTAATCCCCCACTAGATCTCATCGTCAGCTACATTTTCCGACCGCACATCGATCGGTTCTGATAAGCGCTTCACGAGATTTTGAGGAATTTAGACGAAGCTCAAAGTAGACTTAGACTGTTTCGTTCAACTAAAGCATTCAAAATTGGAATATTAGTTGAACATCTTTGAGCAACTTTAGCAACTTTAGCATCTTTGAGCAACTTTAGGTTGTAGATTAGATGCTTTTTCCTGATTATTTTCTAGTAATGTACCAGTGCAGCCAAGTCAATGGCTCTTTTACGGCTTCCAAAGTTTTCCCAGAAGCTCAACACTCAAATCCTCCACAAGATCTCATCGTCAGCTACATTTTCCGACCCCACATCGATCGGTTCTGATAAGTGCTTCTCGAGATTTCGAGGAATTTAGGCGAAGCTTTGGATGCACTAATAGAGAAAACACGGTATTTACCGTATTTTCTCTAATAGTAGTGCACCCAAGCGAGCCGAGTTGATGACTATTTTACGGCTTCCAAACTTTTCCCAGAAGCTGAACACTCAAATCCCCAACAAGATCTCATCGTCAGCTACATTTTCCGACCCCACATCGATCGGTTCTGATAAGTGCTTCTCGGGATTTCGAGGAATTAAGACAAGGCTTAAGATGCACTACTATTAGAGAAAATACGGTAAATGATTTCAAAATCGGACGTAATATATAAAGATTTGTCTAATTTGTTCAATCAAGCATCAAAAAATGCCTTACATAAAGCTACAAATCACGTCAAAATGTACTTTCTGGATGACTTTTTCTTTTGTTCATGTCACTTTAACTGTTTTGCTTTTTTAAGATCAAAGAAAAGCTCTTGAATAATTGTACTATTGATAAACTGACTTAAACATCGACTGTTCATGTCTCCATTCGCATCAACGTGTTTTAGGTAGGATTGGAGGAAACCTTGAGTGCATTGATTGTGCAGCTGCCAAGTGATCACTCCGGCATCCAAAATCACACTGCTTATTTCGAAGGGAAACACGAAAAACCTGAAATTTCCAAATTTCCCTTTTTCATCCCATTAACTAAATTTCATTTTTGGACTTTCAACAACTTCCCGTAAATACTCTTATAGGCTACGATACGCCGTAAATACGGTGTATCGTAGCTCGTAAGATTTGTCGTAAATACTCTTATAAAAGCCCCTATAGAAGCGTCGCGTAGTCTAGGTTTACTCTCAAACAAACGCTCATAACTCGACACCAATGCGTTTGTTTCTAAGAGTTTAAGTATCAAATTAAAGTAGAGAGAATGAGTGTTATTTTGAGATATAACACATATTTTTAGCATTAACCAGCACTTAGAAAAAATGATTTAAAAATGATGAAAAATCGTTTATTTTTGCCACTTTTTAACCCTTTTTTTCTAAGCGCTGGTTAGTGCTAAAAATATGTGTTACATTTTAAAATAACACCCATTCTCTTTACTTTAATTTGATACTCAAATGCATAGAAACAAACGTATTGGTGTCGAGTTATGAGCGGTTGTTTGAGAGTAAACTTGAGAGTAGACTACGAGACGCTCCTATAGGGGCTTCTATTAGAGTATTTACGGTAGTCTTTAAATCGTTAAAGATTTGAGAGCAACATTGATATTTGAAATTGGAAAATTATGCTAATCCCTGTTTTGCTGAAGAATTGGGTCTTCAAACGGGAAAATAGGAAATATTTTGGGGTGTGCCTTTTCCCATTTCTCCGATTCTTTCAAAGCTGATACCACGGGCGTTCACTTTTCGAATAAACAATGATTAACAAAAGAAGAGATTCTTTTAGATAAAATCAATCCAGTTACAAATCAAAGTTACAAAAACTTTTTGTGACTTGGGATCGATTTTACCCTGGCATACTTGAATCTTGTCAATAACTAGTCATCGCCTTAAAAGAGTTAACTTAAAACGCTAGCAAAAGGCTTTAAACTTAAAGCATTTCTCGTAAATCGCTGCTTATTCGAAAACACTTTAGAAGACTCACCAGAGAATTCGAAAGATCCAAAATTTCGACAATTTTTCATCATTTTTCTTCATCTCAAACGATCAGCACTCATCTCAAGAAGCCGATTTTCGTTTAAAAATAGAACACTTGAATCTAAATCATTATATTAGGTTTTATGATAAATTTAGCGTTAAAGGAGAACGGCATTTTGCAAAAAGCTAGCGTTTTACGGATCATGTCGCTTAACGGGAGAACACGATTTTAGCCTATCTTCAACCCGGCTTTTGATTACCCTAAAGTTGAGCAATTTTAAAGTTTAAATAAGATTTGGATAGCTTAAAATTTGCTCTTTCCAAATCTATTTGTGTTTTTAAAGATTGATTCCAAAAAAAATGTTTAAATCATGGGTTGAAGTTAGGGTAAATTCGTGCGCTCACGTTTAAGCGATTCACTAACGAATTTAGCCAATTTTTTCTAAATTAAGCAATTCCGAGAGTGTTTTTTCGATTTAGCAGTGCCGCTAAATCGAGAAAATAACGCTTATATCTCAGCGCTAAACAAAAATATAAAAAAAAGCTAATTGCACTATTTTGCAAATTTCTCAAGATATCGAACAGATGTATATGAGTGTTATATATCATTCGAAAGCTGAAGATCTCCTCTACATTTTGGAATAAAAAAGTTTTGAATTCATTCAACTTTTTGTGAAATTGACTGCACAAAGGGAGAGGTCGTTTTCGAAAAAAACCCATTCCAGCTTAGCTATTCCTCAAGTTTTATGGTGTAAAATAACCGCCCAGAAAAGAAAAGAAAAGTAAAGATGCTCTAAAATTGTTATATTTAAAAAAAAGTTGTTTTGATATATCTATTAGTCAAACATTAAACGGTTAACTCAATTTGAGCGGAGTCAAAACTTGATCCAAAGGCACCCTTCCATTTTGTAGAGAAAAGGAACCAAATTGTAGAGAAAAGGAACCAAATAGAGAAAAGGAACCAAATCTTTATAGAAAAGGAATCAAATCTGTAGAGAAAAGGTCTTGATCCAAAGACACCCTTCCATTTTTTGGCCACCTCTTCTTCTGTGCAGTCAATTTGCCCAAAAGCTGAACAAATCCAAAAACTTTTTGTATCAAAATGTAGAGGAGATCTTCAGCTTTCGAATAATACTCATATATATCTTTTTCTTCATTTCGGTATCTTGAGAAATTTACAAAATAGTAAAAAACGCGCATTCATAACTGGACAACCCAATAATATTATAAATAAACTAGTAAAACGAATCGATACGATCAAATAACAATCTTGAAAGCTGAGCGGAATGTTTGTTTAGTTCTTATTTTATTGTGTGAATCTTTTTGCATGTAAATGGGCATCGAGGAACGGGATGGGGAAAGGCGGCGAATGGGAAAGTCTGACAAAAATTCGAATTGGAAAATAACTCTTTTTTTGGGGGAAACAAATGACACATCGACATGTAAGAAAATATTGAATTGGAGATTTTTTTGCGAATTTTAAAAGAAAACAAATTTTAGAGAAAGAGCAAAAGAAAGCAAAAAGTATTTAGAAATGTACAATAACAAATTTATCCTTGAAAATTTACATCTCATTGATTTGAAGTAAAAGATTTGAAAGTCTTTGAAACTCTTTGAAACTCAGGAGTCAAACTGGTTGAAATAACAAATCTGGAGCTCTCGAGACAAGAAAAAAAAACGAGTTTGATTGGTTGGGGAGAATCATACTGTTTTGAGTGGAGGGAATGATGGAAGATGGGATTGAAAAGAAAAGAAATGGGAGAAATCGGGGGAAAAGATAGGACAAGGGTGATGGGAGAATGAGAGAATGAAAAGGAATTGAATCGTCCACGACGAGTAACAATCAGAGTAACCCAACGATTGCGGGAAGCATGTGAAACATGAAAAACTCTGAGTAACAACAGTTTAAAGGTACTGTAAGTTCCTGTTTTAACACTAATTTATGTGTTTGGATCAAGACTTTCTATCTTTTGCAACTTATCGTACAGACGTTAGTTAAGCAAGCACAAGTTTACCCGTTTATTTGTACTTTCTACTTCAACCCAACGGTTTACTTGCACAGATTCAATAACGGGGCTAAAATGTGGAAGGATTCAAGCAAAATGGACCAAGATTTGTTCGAAATAGAATGAAAGCAACTATTTAACTGATTTAACTTGTATTTAACATTGACTAGAGATGCGTTTGGATTTAGATCTCGGTTTTTGGGCGGAAACCTAGCAAATCTTGTTGAGTTTTTTGCGCTGATTCCGATGGTGTATGTCGTTTGGGGATGACGGTTCTAAAATTTCGAGATATCTAGCTTCGAAGTTTACGTCAAAATTGGGCATCCATGAGACCGCGCACCCACGAGTCATAAGGGTTCGACAGAGGTTTGTAAACACGAGCTCGTGGCCTAGTGGATAGTGGCTTAAAGCTTTCGCTCTTATGACCTTCGTTCAGATCCAGCTACAGCTCAACTTTTTGCTAATAATTTTTTCCCAGGTTTCTTGTTTATTTAAATATCGCTTAACTCTATTTTAACATTAGAAATCGAAAACGTGTTCTATTTAGTTGGTGTATGTCGTGGTTGGTGTAACGTTGGTAACCTCCTTTGGTGTAACCTCCTTTGTACCCTGGGTATTTGTGAAAATCGATGAATTTTATTATTCGATATTATTTAAACAGTTTTTAGAAATAGCAAAAAGTTGAGAAGCTGGATTTGAAAGAAGGACATAAGAACGAAAGCTTTAGGCCACTAACCACTAGGCCACGAGCTCTAGGCTTTTACAAACCTCTGTAGAACCCTTATGACTCATGGGTGCGCGGTCTCATGGATGCCCAATTTTGACGTAAACTTTGAAGCGAAATATCTCTAAATTTTAGAACCGTCATCCCCAAACGACATACACCATCGGAATCAGCGCAAAAAACTGAACAAGATGTGCTAGGTCTCGGCCCAAAATCGAAGTGTAAATCCAAAAGCATCCCCAGTGAATTAACAGTGAGGAAATGAGGAAATGAGAAAGCAAATTTAAACAATATACAACAAGATTTGGGGGGGGGGGAGAAAAAGATATTCAGACGAGACAACAATTGAGCGAAATTAGTACTTTTCCGGAGTCGTTTCACGTTTTCTTTCTTTGAAACTACTTTTGGATATAAATTTGTACGCTTGAATGTAAATCGCAGCGGTGGTGTTAAACATTTAGCACATGCTAATCAAAATCTAAATAAATCTAAATTCTAAATCTAAATCTAAATCTGTAAAAGTCCTTTCCCAATATCCATTATTCTTACAGTATCTCAAAGCTGTTTTTGGTATAATTTCTGTAGTTATAAGATTGATGACGGGAGGCGGGAGAAGAAGACGGAAACTTGACTCTAGTTATTTGCAATCTAACATTTGCTAATTAATTACTTACAAATTGCAAATAACCGTGCTCCTCTTGAGTAATGGGTTTCCTAAAAGACAACTACAATTTAAAACAAACTACCAGAGTTAAATCTCTTTCATTCAATTAGCCCAATTTTTGTATCATTCAATGATGAATTATTAGGTTGGCAACTTAATAATGACGCGTCACTACTTAACATGTTTTTTGTAATTTCAAGCGCCGTTTCTTCCCTCTTTTTTTTTGCATATATACAAAGTAAAAGATGTCTGCATAAATAACATTTAGTGCTCCAAATTTGGGATCCGATGAGATCCGGGATTTGCGCAGAAGATGGGAAGAAGTCATAGATACTAATGGAGAATACCTTTCGAATTGAAAGCTCTTCTTTTGTGTTTTTTTTTAAAATAAATGATTTGTTACATAAACGCGTCATTATTAAGTTGCCAACCTAATAAAAGGCTCAGTCAATGATACCAAAATCTAGCTGATCGAATTTAAACTAACATTTTGACTAGGGTCATTTTCTTAAATAGATTTTTGCATTTTAAAAAACGCTGCAACTATTATTTCTTTTCTATTTGAAAGGTCGTGTCTTAAAACCTAAAAAACACTAAAAAAGAAGCATACTGTAAAAAGGAAAAATTTTAAAATAGAAACTTTTTGGTAAATCAACCGTTTCAAATTCTTCGCTCATCGCTTAAGCGCACCCGTGCTTGTTGTTTTTTAAAAGTTCTCCTTTTCTTGTACATATTTTATTATTAAACTTAATTTTTGTTCATTTTCAGGTAAATGGCACGCGGAAAGCTGCTCACGAGTTACGTGAAAGGCCAGATTGATGCGCGTTTGAAGGACGGACAGAGAAGCAAACTCAAACAAATGTTATTCGGGAAAGTTGCGTAGTCATTTTTTAATAATTTAGTTTTTATAAAGATTTTATGTTACCTACCGTAAAGACTGTAAAAGTACCCCACCCCCATAATGACCGTGCGGAGTGTTGTGTAGTCTAGCTTTGAACGAGTGTTTCTCGACACTGATTTATGCTACAATGCGCGTTTAGGTACCAAAAAATAGCTGAAATTCAGGGCTATTTTTTGATACCAAAGACGCATTTTTTGAAAGTACGGGTGCTTTGCAAAGTAAAATACAAAAAAACGTTTGCGACTACGCGACTGTAGGGGGATGGGGTACTATTACAGTATTTACGGTAGTTTGTAATTGATTTACTTAATTGATTATGCTTTGGTCATTAATTAATTTCCGAAATGTTAATTGTAATAAGTAATTGTTTACTTGAGAGGGACACACTCTAATCCGTTCTAACACAAGACGTGCTGGTGTAGTGGGTATTGTTTTGCTCTCGGCTCTCACCCCTTTGACCCTGGTTCGAATCCCCTCACCGTCAAATCCTTGCTAAAACACACTAAAACAATTTCTTGAGGTTTCTCTTTTCATTGAAATAGATCTTTAATGTGTTGGATGGAAGAAGGGATGAGGAGCTGATTCCATCTAAAATTTCTCATTGTTCACCAAGCGAACAAATCAATACTCTTTCCACCTTTGCCCCATTTTCCCTTGCTAACTGTTTGGCTTGCAGTTTTGTTAGCTTCGAAAAAACACCTAAGCCTTAGAAAAGTTTAAATAGATTTCAATTTTATTTTGGTTTTCTATTTTTTATAAACTAAATTAGCAAATTGTTTCAATTATAGGCAAACTGGACTTCGAAAAATGGACAATCTCATCGGAATTCATGCAATTGGGCCTATAACCGACAGAAATAGACAGGTAAATTTTATAATCTAACCAAAAGCTTTACTAACAATTTAGCAAGTCGCGGTGAGAAGGCGCACACGGCGACAAGAAGTAATCGACAATCGAGAGCCGGGTCCGAAATGTTTAGTGGGTTTTTGAGATGTAATTCCGTGAGAAAACATCTGTTTAAACGTTAATTCAATAAAAATTCCTTTAGCATTGCGACAAAACGATCCAATTGGCCATCTCGAAAGGACCAGCGAAAGTTCGGCACTTGATGCAACACGCGCGATGGGCTCTCAACATTTTCCCATTCTCGTGTTCAGGTTCATCATTTTTTAAAGATCAATTTATGATTAATTGGCAATAATGTTTACAGCAATTGTACGATTGTTAAAACATTTAGTTTGTGGTTTTGCGAACAAGTCTCCTACACCGATCAAAGCTCATATCAAAAAGGAGCACAACGATGTCGGGGCAATCATCGATAAGACGTGAGTTTAACGGATTGGATATAAGAGCTGGAATGCTCGAATCAGATCAGGGAAGAAGCCAAGAGCTAGGTCTAGACAGCTAAGACTTGAATCTAAATACAGGATGAGGCAGGATTATCGCCTTAGAACATCAATGTTAGTTCCAACAAATATCTTGACATCCATATGAAAGATCTTCTTCCGTGAGCCACTTTGGTTCAAAGTTTAAAGTTCAAAGTTCACTTTGGCAACAGGATTTATTGTTTTAGGATGATGATGCTTATGCTTATAAGGCTCGAGTGCTTCTTAGCATTTGCCTAATTTTTCCACCTTTAGAGGCCACCCTCAAGCATCTTAAGCTTAATCCGATGGATTTCATTGTTTGGAAGAGCATCTTAATCCAATAAATTTCACCGTTAACATCTTAATGCGATAGATTTTAGTGTTTGAAATTTTCTTGAAGCAAAAACGTGCTTAAAGCCGCATTCCAACATCGATTCGCTAAAGAAATCTCTTCAAAAAAGCATATGATCTTCAAACTCTTCAAATATGATAAACGATGCCGTTTACTATTTGGTCAAAGTGGATGCATTTCATTGCATTTTGCATTTCCCAAATGTCATCAGGCTAATCTTAAAAGCTTTTCTTGTTAATTAAAAGAAAATTAGCTTTTCTTGTTTAATATTTCTTTAAAAATCAATTGTTAAAGTTTTTAAGTTGATTTCTATCCTTAAAAATATTGATTGCAATAATCCTGTCGAATCCCATATAATGATTGATCAAAAAAAGTTAAATCTGGCTTTTTATGGGCCAGGCCTAAACCAAGCTGGTCAGGCTTAGGCCAGAATATAGGCCAGAATATAGGCTAGAATATAGACTAGAATATAGGCCAGAATCGTCTCAGAGTTAAAAACCCATACAGCTAATTCAGACTTGATGAACCGTACCTCGCGATGACGATCGAAATGACGAAGAAATATTTCCCGGATTTCATTCCGATGATTGATCGATATCATGAAATTTGCGTGAACAATAGGACTTCTGGATTCAAGAGAAGCTCTATTATTCAACCGAAAAGGCAAACAAATCAAACGTTGAGTGCTCCAGAAGTTTCCTCATCGAGAAGTCAGTCTCAATTCGATGAATGGTCGGATTTCGATTTCTCTGGAATTGGATCATTGGTAAGAAAAAACATTTATTAATGATTTAAATCTAGAAAATTCAGAACGGGTTTGAGACAACCAATGAGGAATTGTTTCAAGAGCCGATGCCCAGCGATGTGGTGAGTTTTTGGCTTAATTAAGCTCTTAAAATTGGCCAAAGTATTGGTACAATCCTAGATTTTGGTTTTTAAAGTATTCAATTTCAAAGTTCAAGCTAGCTTTCAAGCTTAAGAAGTCAGATTTAGTCGGATTTCCCGACCACTTCGTCCGCATTTGCCGTCGAGGACTCGGATTTGCCCGCTGGCGCTCCAGAACTTCTACAATCGATTCTTGGTGTAACCAGGGAACAAAGTGATATGAACATCACAAAAGTTGACCCAATTCTAATGCCTCAACCCGACGTTCAAATGATAACGAGCTCCAGTTATGAGGCAAAGGTTCGTCTAATGTTCAATCTGAAATAAAAGCTTTCTAAGTTATTTCTAAGCTTCATAAAGTTTAAGTTGATTTAGAAACCCAACTAAAGATGTCTGAATTTTTAAAATTCAATCAAAATCAATAAAGCCTAACAAAGTTTATAATTTTAGACTTTCAAGCTGCCCATTCAAGCTTCACAATCGCCTCGCGATTCGCAAAAAGACGAGATCGTCATGTTAAAGCAGGAAATCGAAAGGATGAGACGGGAAAATCTTCGGGTAAGTGAAAGAACTATAGATAATTGAGGGTTGCGCGTTTGTCAAGTGTGGCCAAGGGGATAGGTCTCCGGATTTCGGGGTCTTGGGTTCGAATCCAGCCGAGATTCTTTTGCTTTTTTGGGATTCAATGAAAGAAGTTGTCTTTGCTATGAGAAAATTAAAAGATTGACAGACATTATGGTATATCCTAAACTGCCAGAACTGCTAGTGGCTTAGGCTTAGGCTCAGGCTCAGGCTCAGGCTTAGGCTTAGGCTTAGGCTTAGGCTTAGGCAGCCTAAGCCTAAGCGTAGGAATAGGCCCACAAATTCAGCATTTAAAATGTCCGTCTCTTCGTATTCTTCCATACTCTTCACATTCTTGCACGCGGGTGAAATTATAATAACAAAGAGTAATTGCATTGCTTTGCTTTGCTTTGTCAAAAATGCTTTATCATCTTTCACCTTTGGGAAAATGGATGTTATCTTTTTGAAAAAATGAAATTTCAGGTTTCTCTTCTCCTCGGCCAATCGCAAGCAAAGAAATCTCTTTATAAAACTGAAGTAAGTGAAATCTTTTGTTTTTAAGAATTTATCGAAAGCTTTTAGAATAAAGCTTTGAAGAATGAATTAGCAGCTCTTCGAAAAGAAATGGCTCGAGTCGTTCAAATTGATTGAAGTTTTTTAAATCAAATTTTAATATTAAAAACAAAAAGATTTCGGGTTGAATGAACTCAAAAAAGTGAATAAATTGCAATATTTTGCTTTTCTTTTCTAAATAAATTATTATTTACAAGATTAAAGATTTTTTTCACTAGACAAAATGCAAATCACAAAGTACTCCAGTCCATTTTGTAAACACATTAAATCTGGCGCATCATGAGAGTCTGGAGAATGCCAAACTTGCGCCGAACGTTATAAGGGGTAAATTATCGACTAACACTCTCCGACAATATTTACTTTGTTTTCTACGACAATACATAACTTACAGATTATTTAGGCTAGGCCATTTTAGAGGCTTTTGATAGCAAATGGAACACGGGACAGCGATGTTTTCCGGGTGATGGAGTCATCTAATACTGCGTCAATATCACCAGCTCATCACAAGAACAATAAACCTTTCAGATATAATAATTTTGAGCTAACAAAACAAAAATAAATCCAATAGATTCAGAAGTGATATACACTACTGGACAATGAAATATCATATTTGAAAAAAGATCGTCACTTTCGCGCGTCTGTAACTCCCTTTGTCTTTGAGTTTAAACTATTATATCAAATGAGATAATATCTACTATACCATATTTTCTCTAATAGTAGTGCACCCAAGCCAGCCGAGTTAGTGAGGATTTTACGGTTTCCAAGCTTTTGCAGAAGCTCAACACTCACTAGATCCCCCACAAGATCTCATTGTCAGCCACATTTTCCGACCCCACATCGATAGGTTCTGATAAGCGCTTCTCGAGATTTCGAGGAATTTAGGCGACGCTCTGGGTGCACTACTATTAGAGAGAATACGATATCAAAGAAAGAAAAAATTATTTAAGTCGATTCACTGGGGGTTGAGATCTTGGCGGTACGGACGGACATCTCCGTGGCGTAGCCGGGAACTCGCTTGTCGACGGCCCACTGTCTGTCTACGAAAACTACAAAAATGACAACAAGTATTCCTTAAAGTATAACCTATCATTATCACGACTTTCTGTCATCGATCTGCAAGATTTCGGAGCTGGTCGAGGTACCACTTCTTCAGTTTCGAATCAAAGAACTCTTCTTCTTCTTCAACTTCTTCAAATGACTCGAATCGGCGACCTTTCAGAAAATGCTGCAATGATCGTCTTCAAGATGTAAGTGCAATGATGTAAGTCTTCCAGTGTCACTGGAATCAAAGCATCTGTACCATCTTGAAAACTTTTGATTGACTTACACTTCCTTCACCTTCAGCTTCGCAAATCTCTTCCACGGCATCTCTCGTTGAAAGTTTCCGTTTCCAACAATAGCGAATCAAAACTCGAAGCTCTTTTTCTTACAAACTCGTTAAGAATACAAAAATCAAGATTGGTACAACACTATAAGCGCGAAAAACCAGCAAAAAATGCATAAAAATTGAATTTTTCGCAGCTGAGTCAGAACTTTTTCCTTAACCTAATATTACAAAATGAACAAATTCTTCGTTCTGTATTTGCCTTCACCTATCATGCAAAGGTTTTAGTTTTCTCAAATAGGTGCCTTTTAGCTGAGGTGTCTGATGAGTGACGATCTTGTTTTTCTCCAAGCCTTGCAGTGTCTCCAAAAATTTGTAAACCCATCAAATCACTCTAGCCGGGTGATTTTTATTCTTTTTGATAATAAAATCAGCGATATTAAAATTAGAAAAATAGGTGGTTGCCGTAAAAAAAATTTTATCGTCACCCGGCCGCGATTATTTTCAATTATTCAAATCTTTGGCTATCTTTGGCTCGAAAAAAGGTTCCTCAATTCGAGTCTAGATTCTCTTTTGTGCAATTGTGCGGCGAAAAGAGCGCAAGAGACGCGGGAAAAAAAAGGACGCCAATCGATTTGTGCAACGCGTTCTTTGAGCAAAGCCATTTCTGGCAACTTTACTCTTTCAAAAGAGCTAAAAACTAAAAAGTTTATTGCTGAATTTCTTCAACACTTATGGACATTATCCTCGATGATTTTCAAAAGGTTTGTCTTACGCTGATTGTCGTTTGAAAGCATTGAAAGCACAGGTTTTATTATTATTACTATTATTATTATTATTATCATTATTATCATCATTATTTATTAACATTTTAACAAAATGCCATTTTCAATATTTTGATCTCGAAATCAGAACGACTTTAGCGCCAGATTGACACAAAAATTTGTACTTTGAGGTTTTCGAGGTTAGAAAATCCATTAATCCATTAAATTATCAATTATTATAAACCAAATTCTTCAAAAACTTGCGTAATTAAACCGAAATTAATAAAAAGAGCGAAATCGAGCCGAAAAATCTCGATGGTATAGATGAGCCAAATTTTGTCTTTCATTGAAACAGACAAAAGCCAAATCTCTAATCAATTAAAGCAAGCAAATTCGTTAAATTAGCTTACAATTTGACAATTACAACAGCTTACAATTACAATTTATGACAAAGGCGACGTTTTAATAGCCAAGAAACTCATTGAAAAACAAAAATTCCAAGCTTTGGCATTTCTGAATAAATAAATCAATAAATTTATTCGTTTTCTGAGATTTTTACACAAGAAAATCAATAATTTAATTAGTTTTTAACATTTTTTACAATCTCTTTTCATTTTTTATTAAAAGAAATGTGGGTAAATTATCAAAATCGGTCATTAGAAAAGTTTCTTTAAAGTCGAAGTTGAAAATCCTCCAAAATGACTCTATTTCAAGTTTTTAGCGTTATTGTAGATCAAAACTAACACTGGTTTCGGATTCCCCGTCCTTGAAAACCCCCATATACAAATTTTCAGCTTAATCCGGCAATAGATTATCAAATTCAAGTGGCGAATGTCTGAAGTTGGCGAGTTTCTTAAGGAAACTTTGTCCTTCTTGATTAAATGCTTTGATTAAACTCTTGATTCTTTCTAAACGGCAATTATTTTAAAAAATACCGTAATCTAACTGCTAGTTTTCATTTAATCAGCTTAATTTTAGTTTAATTTACTGAGACTTATGCTTTCTAGTCGGATACAAAATTGAATGAAAGAAAAAAACGTTTATGATTGAATGAAAGAAAAAAACGGTAGTTTTCTTAAATATCTTTTTAGAAAACACTCTTAGAAACATACTCTAACAGTGTTGCTTAAGAGTGTTGCTTAAGAGTGCTGCTTAAGAGTGTTGCTTAAGAGTGCTGCTTAAGAGTGCTGCTTAAGAGTGCTGCTTAAGAGTGCTGCTTAAGAGTGCTGCTTAAGAGTGCTGCTTAAGAGTGCTGCTTAAGAGTGCTGCTTAAGAGTGCTGCTTAAGAGTTGTCCAGTTTAAAAGCGCTTTCTTTGTTTAACTTTGTTTAAAATCTCAAAGAAATGATCAAAATTACCGCTTGTTTCAATTTATTCAAAGGAATTTCCTTTGTAGTTATAGAATTTTCAAGTAAAATGAGTAAAAAATAGTAAAAAAAAGCCTTTAATTCAATGCAAATACAGATCGGCAAAGGGAAACGCCGACTCAGCACAAGCACAGCTCCATCGGCGATTTGCAAGGTAAAAACTTAATAAATAAACTGATCAAATAAACTAATTGAGAAATTGAGCCTGAAATTTTCACAGCCGTTTTCATTCTGTGTTCCTTTTGAGCAAGCAATTAATTGAATAAATTTGTGGAATCTTTTTAGCTTGAGTAACGCGTCAAATCTCAAGTAATGGTATTCTAAAAAGTGCTTTTTCAATTTCAATTGTTCAAATAAGCTATTTTATTGCTTTTCTATGCTTTTGAAAGCTAATAATTTTAATAACTGTTAACTAAAACCCTCTAAATCGATCCTCTAAATCGATCTTATGAAAAAAGGTAAAAAAATTGACCTCGAGCTGGGATCGAATTTGCCGCCGAAGGGCTGTTCGGTTTAGAGACAAGCCACTCGGCCAGCTGATAAACTAGCTTCTCTATTTAAAGAGCGCTTTAGAAAGCGATTACTTGAAAGGAACACTCGAAAGGAACACACTCTAGTTTTCATCACCATTTCAGCTATGTTCAAGTATGGTCCGAATCGACAAACGATTATGCCCATCGAGCGTTCGACATCTAGTAAGCCATGTGAAATTTCATCTCGACTACAATCCATATATTTGTCCGGGTAAGTTTTAAAACAATACTACTGAACTGCGAAGCAGCACATCACGCAGAAGCACCAAAGTGATGCACAGCCACTCGTTGTTGGGTGTGTTGATGGTTATCGGTCATAGTTAGAGTTCTAAAGTAGTTAGAATTTACAGTAATAGATTTGTAGCTTATATACTAGTACTGGATTGGTTACAGTAACCCAAAAAACTAAGCAATTGCAAAATACAGAATCACTTAGCAAGAAAAAGGAATTTGGGGCATTGAAATGTGAACAAAATCAATTTTTTCCTTTAGTTTGCAACAATGCCTACAAAGTGCACAGCAATGCGAAGCAGCACATCACGCAGAAGCACCAAAGTGATGCACAACCACTCGTTTTTGGGTGTGTTGATGGTTTTTGGTGATGCTTTGCCATTGGCATAACTTTGAGCTCAAATTTCTTGGTGTTGGGCTGTTCAATTTAAATGTTCTTAGTATCATTAGATGCGCCAAGTCTTTCTCTCTCGATTGGTACAAAAACTATTTAAATTGAATAACCCAACACCGAGAAATTTGAGCTTAAAGTTAGATTGCCAATGGCAAAGGGGCGGGGCTTAGATACGCGTCCTGTCCCTTTTGCCATTGGCATAACTTTAAGCTCAAATTTCTTGGCTTTGAGATGTCCAATTTAAATAGTTTTTTTACCAATCGATAGAGAAAGACTTGGCACATCTAATGATATCAAAAATATTGAAATTGAACAGCTCAACACTAAGAAATTTGAGCTCAAAGTTATGCCACTGGCGAAGGGGCGGGGCGTATATAAAATGGCTCACAATCTGTGTAGATTAATGAAATTAAATGAAAAAGGGTCGTGCAATCAAAAATGAAAACATTTCAACTTTTCAGCGAAACACCACAATATTGGAGTGACGTTTTCGAGAAGACGAAGAAATGTTTCCCAGATTTCGAGCAGCGAATTGATGTCTTTGCCACAAAGCGGCGAGCTCGAATCAATCCAAAAAAGCAAGGGACATTGGAGGAGCAATTTTTAGATCTTTCTGGAATTCAGAATATTAAAGAGGTCAGTTTTTAGCGAAGTTTTTCGGAAAAGCATTGAATGTTTTAGGAATTGAATTTGAACGAAACTTTTGAATCTGAAGATCAACCAGAAAGCACACAAAAAGGATTACTTTAATTACTTGTACACGACATTCATCTCAGAAAAGGAGGAAACGAGTCAATCGGTGAGAAAAATGATAACAAAAACTAGTTTTTTCAATGTACACACTTTGATGTACTCACTTTGATGTACTGTACTTGATAGACTCAGCCACGAAATTTCAGAACGAATCGCCCGGGCCAAGCAAGGATCAAGCTGAAATTGTTGGAGACAAGGTTTCAATCTAAAATCCCAATAGGTTTCAATTAAAAAGCTGTTTAGTTTCCACAAATTAAAGAAGGCGAGGTGATCAATTGCTTCAATTTGAGCCATCAAGATTTGGAAGAAGAAGTGCAACGATTAAGAGCTGAAGTCGAAGAGTTAAAACGAGACAAAATCGAGGTTTGTTCATTTGCAGTGTTGTCAAAAGGGAATTTATCCGAATCAGAGTATAGATTGGGCAGACTTTACTATTAGCTGTAGGCCTTATCGACAAAGAATCTATGAACCAGAATCCAGAATCCGTAAGCCAGGTCTAACTTCTCGCGGAGCTCTAGCATTGCCTGACTGACTTTAAACCTTAAGAATTGAATAGAAACCTCATTGGCACTGTATTACAGTAGGCTGTATCTGTTTAACAACATTCTAAACTTTAAATATTGATTCTTTACAGACAATGCTGATCCTCGGCGAAACTCAACTGAAAAAGGAGCAGTATAAAAAAGAGGTGACTTGAAAATCGATTTGCTCAGCATTTGATTACCTATTTTTCCTATTTTCAGGTTCTCAAGTATAAAGCGGAACAACTTAAGAAGTGAAAAATCTCTTTTGGAAGACTTTTTGCAAACAATCGATTAAAGGAATCATTTCTCAAACCGTTTCTCATCAAAATCTTTCTCCAGAGAGTCTTAATAAATTGATTTTATGATAAATTATGGGAAAAATAATACAGAAACCTTGAGGTTATGTTTAAATTGATTTCAATTGATTGGTTGATTAAGTTCAATTGATCAAGAGTACAGATCAAGAGTACAGGTCAAGATTAAATTGATCAAGAGTACAGATCTAAACTTTCTTCTTCAAAATAATCTGAAACAAACAGAAATCTTTATATTCTAATTTAAATAGAACAAAAGCTCTAAGAAAAACTGAAAGATTATATGTTAATGTCAAAGAAATCAAAGCTTTCAATTTGATGCCTATTTAGCTCTTTGTAGTTCCTATTTGTTTCCTATTTGTTTCCTATTTGATCCTTATTTAACTCTTTGTAGTTCGTATTTGGTTCACTTCTCCATTTCCCAGAACACAGTAAGTCCATTTTTGTGTATTTATTTGTTAAAGCTTTTAAGATAAGATTCACTAGTATAATTCTTAGCTCTCCCTCTTTTTTTTAACGAAAAGAAACCAATACTTGCCTGTACAGACAGGTGGAATCACCGGTGCAAGGTGAATCAGTCTCTCCGCTGTCTCTTTCACCCAGCTCTCTTTCCCAACCCCCACGTCAGGTGCCAGCTATCGATTTTCCCCAGTCGGGCAGGGGACCTGACAACAACAGATGTGGGGCGAATGCAATAAAATGGGGTAGAAATGGTTGGGGGAATTGGAGAGACGGAGAGAAGTGGAGGAGTGAGACGAGGAGAGACAAGGCCGCCCAGCAACCAGCACTTGGCTCTTCTCTTCACTTTTTAGAAAAAAAGCATTTGGTTTTTATTTAGTACATCGGAATCTACAAGAAATTAGCTTTTATAGCTTTTAAATTCTTGTATTATTTCTCAATTCTGATCTTTTTCCTTCGCTTGCTCGTTTATTCATTGAAAAATTCATTAAAAAAAGAATTTTTCTTGTAGTTTGTTCAATTTGTTTAATAATAAGTGAAAATTATTACTTCTCAACTGTTATTATCAGAGTTTTATTTGGGTTTTTACAACTTTTCACATTATTTTATTGTAAAGCTGCTGCCAAAGCTTAGAATTTTGGTTTTTCAATGACTTTCTTGGCTATCAAAACATTGTCTTTGTCAAAAGTTGTAATTGTAAGCTGTTGTAATTGTCAAATTGTAAGCTAATTTAACGAATTTGCTTGCTTTAATTGATTAGAGATTTGACTTTTGTCTGTTTCAATGATAGACAAACTTTGACTCATCTACACAATCGAGATTTTTCACTCCGTTTTATTATTACTTTGACTTTAACTTTGAATAACTTGAATAATGAATAACCAAATAACTTTGAAAGTATTAATGAATGATAGTAGAAGATAAATCAATCAAATCAGGTCCACTTTTCTGATTCTAAACGATTGCTAGTGAAAATAATGGATGATCAAGAATTACCGCAACACGCAAAAGGCCTGGCTTTTAATCAAATATACAATCCATCTCGAAAAGTTAACTTAAATATCTTTATTCAACATATAACAGTAACAAATTAACAATTAAGTTCAAATTTGCCTCCATCGGCATTCAGACAGTCTTGTAAACGTTTGGGAAACGCGTTGACCGTAAGCAAAACAGGTAAGCAAAAAGTGAAATGGGGCTCATAACATAATACGTTAAAAGCCAGGCCTTTTGTGTGTTGCGGTAACTCTTGGTCACCCTGTACAATATCCTAAATCCTCCCAAGGAGTACAATTCAGTTTAGCTACTGTAGAAAAGAAATCAAAGTTCAAAAACTATTGTAGCAAAGCATTTTAGGATATTGGAAAGGGTGACCAAGAGTTACCGCGACACACAAAAGGCCTGGCTTTTAACGTATTATGTTATGAGCCCCATTTCACTTTTTTGGAAATGCGTTGCCCGTGGGAAACGAGCAAATAGGCATCATCGAGGGTATCCCATGCTTTGATAAGCGCCTTCTTCAAAATTTCGATATTTTTATGTGGTTTTGCACATGCCCTGGCTTCAAGAACACTCTAGACTGAGTAATCCAATGGGTTAAGCTCAGGTGAGCTGGGTGGCCACTCAGAAAACGAGATGTAGTCCGGAAAGATCTTTGAACAAAACTCTTGCACTTTCTTTGCCTTGTGAGCCGGCTCACCATCTTGTTGATAAGTCCAAATTCGATTTTTGAATCACGGAACAACCTACTTCTTTAGCAAAAAGGGAAATGAGGCTCATAACATAATACGACGTTGTTGCGGTAATTCTTGGTCACCCTGTACAGTCTGTTCTCCTTTAAGCCAGCTTATTGTTCTTTAAAATTCTTGTTTTATCTAAGATTTCTCAGAAAATGATTTAAGACTTGAATTTTCCAAAAATTTTGGAGATTTCTTTGAATGTTTCTTGGATATTTGTTGCTTTAAATGTAAATTTCAAAGTTTATTATTAGTTTCAGCTTCAAAAAAGCTCTTCAGAAAGAGAAACAATGATGAACAGCTTTCTACAAGTAAGTTTGATTCAATCAATTTCGATGCAAATAAATATTCAATCAATTCAGGATCTTTGGAACAACGACAATCGAGGGAAACGCTTTCATCGACAACAAAATGGACAGAGTGGCTCACCGGCGATCACTTGCAAGGTAAAAATGGCAGGATTGATAAGGAAAACTGGTATAGAATCTTTATAAACTACTTTTCAGCATTGCGGCAATTCGGTTCGAATCACAAAGACGAATGGTCCTTCAAAAGTTCGCCATTTACTCGATCATGCAAAATGGCATCTCGATCATCGACCAATTGGTTGTCCATGTAAGATTTGACTGGCTTTTGACTAACCATAGCTATTTCTAAATGCTTTTATGTTAAAAGGCTGAAACAAATACCGTAAATACTCTAATAGAAGGCCAATGACGGGCGTAAAGTCGCGTAGTCTAAGTTTGTACCTCTTTTTCTCGTACAGCCGCGTAGTCTAACTTTGAAAGTCCTATTCTCTGCTCTGCTTTAAGCTACACTGTACGTTTGGGTATCAAGCCGTTTGGGTAGCCCTTGAAATCGAGTATTTCAATCGAGAATAGGACTAGACTACGCGGCTGTACGAGAAAAAGAGGTTCAACGTTAGACTACGCGACTTTACGCCCGTCATTGGCCTTCTATCAGAGATTTACGGTATTTGTTTCAAAAGTGTTGGGAAAAATCTAGGGGCTGAGAAAGAAATGATTTTTTTAAAAAAGAAATCAGACTACGCAACTGTACGAGGAAAATGGTCTTTAGATTAGAATCTTTACTGTTAAAGGTGGCGTTCTATTAGAGTATTTACAGGATTTAATTCTGTGCTCTTTCTATTTTAAGTGATGAGATCTTTCTGTGATACTATATTTGTTTTTATTTAGGTTACTTTCATAGGTTACTTTCATCCAATCAATTCAAATCTAAGTGCTTAACTCGAGACTTTCAAGAGCATTTGCTGATGCTAATTTTTCTCTAAGATATTTAAATCTTTCTCCTTGTACTTCCTCAATATCTAGACTAAGCGATTCTACGAGGAATTAGCATTGTATTAAAGTATTATCAAAGTACTATCAAAGTACTATTAAAGTACTATTAAAGTACTATCAAAGTACTATTAAAGTACTATTAAAGTACTATTAAAGTATTATCAAAGTACTATTAAAGTACTATTAAAGTGCTATTAAAGTACTATTAAAGTATTCAAAGTATTATCAAAGTACCATTAAAGTACTATTAAAGTAATATTAAAGTATTTATCGTATTCCAAATTTAGTCTGTGAATACACAGCCAAAGAGGGAACCACTGTGCGCGCACATTTGAGATCGATTCACAAAACGAATGTGGATCCAATCGATAACTCGTAAGTTAATGTAAAGCTTAGATTTGATTTAAAACAAAATTTTAAAAGCTACGTTTCTTTAATCTTAAAAGATTCGAACTCTTTTCCAAACCCTTGCAAAGTGTGCACTTTTAGAAACGAAGAACCCTACAGGAGTGAGCTTTTTGAGAAAACCAAAGAGTATTTTCCGCAATTCTCTGAAACTCTTAATGTTTACTATGAAAATGTCAAAAATGGAGTGACATCTCGTGGTCAGAGTAGAAGAACAAGGGCTTCGTTGAATTCTAATTTTTCAATCGACTACGCTCCACTCATTCAAGCGTCACTTCTAGCACAGGTATTCGTATTTATAGTCAATAAGCAAATCCACTATATATAAAAGAGCAACGCCTGTTTGTCTGCACATTTTTCTCGGCCGTGTTTTGACCAATAAAGCAAAAACTTCTTTAGAAAACCTTAAAATACATTGTAGTTGGGCTATTTAAAATAAAATATAAAAAAAACGAGAACGAATGGCACTAGGGGGATCGAACCCGGATCGTGTGACCTGTAAACAAAGGGGCACTCCACTGCGCTATGGCGACATGGAGACTCGGCCCAAACAATCCAGCTAAAACCCGTCATTAAACGGGTTTTTCGGCTAGCTATAAATCAAATTTCTTCCAAAAATGTCTAATCAAATATCATTTTGGAAATCCTATCTCAATTTATTTATAAATCTTTATCCTACCATTAAAATTCTGTTTAGGGTGGCTCAAGGAAATCACCAGCAATTGATGATTTCAATGAAGACAACGAAGCACTGGAAACGTCAATCAGTGATGTGCAGCGGTTGCTCTTCGGCGCTCCACCGCTGAAATTGAGCAAAGAGGAGGTGGAGGATGACGACTGTTTGGTAAGGCCTTGATTAACCTTAGAGCCAAAGATTGCTTGATTTAAATTTAGATCACATCACATCTCAATTTGATGGCTCGTCAAATGATTGAATCTAGACAGAGTCCAGCGACGAGTCGAGCCGAATCTGAGCAGCCAAGACAGGAGGCGAAGGAAAAGGTGAACAAGAACGGGGATTTTTCGATTTTTCGGCTTATTGGCGCGGTCAATAAGCCAAAAATGCATTTTCTGATGAATTTTGATGAAAGATTTGTCAGAAAAATTTTGCTGATTTCATTGCTGATAGATTTTTGTGAAACGAATCGCCAAAACCCGGCTGTCATTAAGCTATAGCTTTTAAAAGCTTTCAAAAAACGCCCCACTTTTGAAAGCTATAGCTTAATGACAACGAAAAATTGGGAAATTTAATGGAATAGATTCGATTTTTTAAAACTTTTCTGTCTATTTTGACACCAGAAACAAGCAAATGCATTAAAAACACGAAAACTAGTAGCGTTTTGAAGCAAAAAATGGCGTTTTTCGACTTTCTGCGAGCTAAAGTGTGTACAAATTGCCGTAGTTCTTGTCTAAGCGTATAAATTAACATTTTCTTTTACAAATTTTCCCCCTCGATTCACTAATTTTTCTTTAATAGATCATTAATAGATATTTTAATTAGATCAATGAACTTATTATGCATTCAAATGATCTTTTAGTATTAGAACTACCTAATTGACTACACCATTTTGTCTTATCTTTGTTTTTTTAAAACCTAGCTTTGTCCTAACCTAGAACAAAATTCATTTCACAAGCAAAAATTGTGCTTTACTGTTAAAAAAAAGAGCGGAGTTTTTGGCGAACTTACAGCTCATTTTTAAGCAGCTTAAACTTGTCAGATCAGAAAGTTTTAAGAAGATTTAGATAGCTTAAAACGTCAACTTTTAAAACCTATTTCTTTCATCGAAAGTTATTAATAAAAAACTATCTAAAATTGGGCTACAAAATGCAAAAACTCGGTCCTTCCGATAACCGTAAAGATACGCAAAACTTTTAGACAATTGATTTACTCATTTTTCTTGTTTTAGCCTTTCAAATTGCCACTTTGTCAAGAAAGTCCGGAAGCTGTGGATGTCCACGAAATGCTCAAAGCATCACAAGAAGAAAATAAACGTTTACGAGTTGAAATGGAGAAGATGAAAGAGGAGAATGCTCAGGCGAGTAAAGACATCAATTACAGGTTAAAATGTAACCAATTAGTTACAATGTAACCAATTACAAGTTAAAATAAGCAAAATAACAAAATAAGAAGAATTCTAAGCAGCATAAAGCTTTAAAATCTCAAAAGAGTAACGATTTTCAGGTGATGTCACTTCTCGGGCAAACGCAAGCAAAGAAAGCTCAATACAAAAGAGAAGTGAGCTTTTGAGATTTGTTTTTATTTGATTTTAAAGCACTAGCAAAGAATACTATGAAAATATAGTAATGTTTTCAATTTTAAATCCTCCAAGAACAAATTTAGAAAGCATTGATGAAGGAAGAGCTCGAGATTCTCCGGAAACGATGCCCAGATGTCGTGGAATTGGATTAATTCTTGAAAATCTACAAAAAAAATCTGTTTCCCTATCGTGAAAAATCTGTATTAATCGTATTTCTAGAGTTTTCAATTTCAAATTCAAATTCTCACATATCTAAATCGGAATCTCAAATCGTTTCTTTGTGATACTGTGATGTGGTTGTTTTTTTTTGCGAAATGAAAGTTTGGTTGATGTATAGAATTGCATAGAAAAATGCAAAAATGCAAAAATGCAAAGAAAATGCATAGAAAAATGGGATATTAAGCCAAAGAGTTCAAGAAAACGCTAAAAATAGAATTGAAAATCCAATTGTTGCTAGGGAAACTTGCTAGTACTAGTGAAACTCGCTTTTGCGATAGATTCTTGTGGTTTTTTTTGACTAAAGCGCAGCCTTCATGCAAAACGACAAATGATCTAGAAAAGATGAGATCAATGGAAGATTGGGAGACCAAAACTATCGCAAAAGCGATCGCATTCGACCTCAGCACTTGTATGGATCCAGAGATTTGAAATGAGCACGATAAATTACAAAAATGACGAACTGTCACACTAAAAACGCTTCTAACTTGCTTCAAATCTACCGGATTCAAATGATCTATGACTGAAAAAATAGAGAATCTCAAGAGCTTTTAAATGGACTCAGGCATACTATGGCTAAAATAACAATGCTAAACAAAGTGGTTTGTAGTCCGACGGACCGTACTTGCGCGTAGTCGAAACTATCTACAAACCACTGTAACACTACAAACTCTTCTAACTTGCTTCAAATCTATTGGATTGATATGATCTATAGCTCAAAAGATAGAGAAGCTCAAGAGCTTTTAAATGGACTAAGGCATACCTAAAATATCAATACTAAAGAAAGTTACAGTGGTTTATAGCCCGACGGACCGTACTCGCGCGTAGTCGAAGCTATCTATAAACCTACAAATCACTATAACTCTCTTTAGCGTTAATATTTTTGAATGTTCTTTAGTCCATTCGAAAGCTCTTGAGATTCTCTATTTCTTAAACTATAGATCATGTCAATTCGGGAGATTTGAAGCAATTTAGAAGAATTTGTAGCTTACGTTTGTAGTTTGTAGTGCCCCTGTCTACCTCGAGTAGTGATTGCTATTGTTTGATAGGGCCAAAACTACTCAGCTCATCTGACTCCGTTCATTTTTGAAGATAGACGGTAACTTCAAACACCTTCACGATACCAAACAATTTGTTCAAGAAAAACAATAACTTATTCTTAGAGTTCTCAAATAATGTTTCTTTCAAAACAACTCTGATCTCAAGAGCTTCCGAATGAACTAAAGCATACTCAGAAATATCAATGCTAAAGAAAGTTACAGTGATTTATAGTCTGACTCGAAACGGACCGTACTCGCGCGTAGTCGAAGCGATCTACAAACCTACAAATCACAGTAACTTTCTAACTAGCTTTCTTGAAATCTGCTGGATTGGCACGATCTAAAGGATGGCCGGAAAGTTCTATTACTTTCGAAAGCGACGCCGTTAAATTCAGGTTTAAAAAAGGAGAAGTAAAAACAATCCTAAAAAAATTTAATCTTTCTTATTAAAATTAAGCGTTTGTCATAACGGTTTTTTTCAAAAAAAATGGCTTTATTATCCTTTCAAGTAAAGCTCTATGTTCTCCAGGCTCGTCCCACGATTGAGTTGACATATCCAGTGATTAAAAAAGATGGGACACAAAGAAAGCTTATTCAGTTTTATTTTCAAAAAGAGGAGATATTTTTCTTTAAAACTAGCCTCTCTACAACTAAATTGAGCTAAAAATAATAAATCTACAGTCATAAAGAAATTTCGAAATTAGAATTGCGAGCTTTTAAAAGAGGTTCTTGATTGAAATCGTTTAGAGAGTCTAAATTCTCTCAAAAATTCTTCCAGATAATAAAAATAGTTAAATTTTCTAATAATTAAATTTATTATCTTTGATCTTTTGTCATTCTTTTGTCAATGTTAATGTCAATTGATGGCGCTTCTTTTAAAAGTAACAGAACTTTTCGGCCATCCTCTATACCTCAAAAAATATAGAATTTTTATTTTAAAACTAGATTTGTAAATGTTTTAGTATTTTAGCTAATAAATTTAACAAAATTGCCCTTCGCATTCACTGCAATTGACCACATTTTTCCCATAAAACACCCGGATTTTCTTGATTTCATTTTTCATCTTCATACTGAACAGTTTTACAATTTTATGCCAAATGTTAGTTCTAGCTTTGAAAAAAAAAATCTATCAAATCTTTCTATGAAAAACCAAATCTAAAAAAATCATTCTGAACAGCAGGAGAGTCGAATCAACAACCCTCTCTCCAGCGCCAGATTGACAGTCGGCGTCTTAGACCACTCAGCTATCAGTAGCTTCAGTAATTCGGCTTCTGTAAAGGCCATCAGTAGCTTCAGTAATTCGACTTCTGTAAAGGCCATCAGTAGCTTCAGCAACTCAGCTTCTGTAAAGGCCATCAGTAGCTTCAGTAATTCGACTTCTGTAAAGGAACTTCCTTCAGTAATTTCGCTTTTTACAAAAAACGACCCCACTAACCCCCAAAATTGATTTGATTTTTTAAAATTAGATATAGTTTTACACCTAGAGCCAAATTTTTAGCCAATTTCAACCAATTTCAGCCAGTTCAGCCAATTTCAGCCGTTTTTTTCTCAAATCGCATAACAGACAAACACACAGACAAACTGTCTCTCTTATAATAAGTAAGGATTGATGTTTTTGAGGTGTGCTTTAGTCCATTCGAAAACTCTTGAGATTCTCGATTTTTTTCAGCTATAGATCATGTCAATGCGGTAGATTTGAAGCAAGTAAGAAGCGTTTTTAGTTTACATTTGTACAGGTTTGTCCATTTCTTAAAGGACTGCTTTGATGATCTAGTGGATTGTCTGCTAGACTACCAAATCTATAACATTTTTGCGCCCAAGTTCGAGTCCCACTCTCGTCAAGCTTCTTTCCTTTTTTAAAAAATTGTTTCTACTGCTATCTGTAAGTTTAACAAATGATTTACAAAAGCTGGAACCTTCCAAACTATCAGAATTAGTCGATAAGTATTGAAAAAGTTGAGAAACTATAATATGGACTTGGTCTCGAGTCAAAAGGCCAGCTTGATTCGGTGTCTTGTTAGTGAAAAGGGTATTCATGCTTTTATAGATTAAATTTGAACGGCTGGTAGCTTTTACAAGTACATTTTTAAACTAGTAGACTCAAAAAGTATTAAATAACGATTCACCAATCAAAACGGTTATCAAAACAGTCAAAACATATCAATTTTTAACATAAACAAGTGATTTGAAAGATTTTTTTGGCTCCACGATCAGTCATTGCAGATATCTTTTGCAGCATAGCCCTGAAAAGTTTCATTTTAATCTCTCGAATGACTGCTTAGTTCCTTTTAAATCTCTATTTCAGAAAATTGGCTTGAATTTCTAAAATTTAATAGAAACTTACAATTACTTCAAACAGAACACTAGAAAGTTAAATTCGATGAATTCAAAAAGATGCTTGTTTAATGATCACCGATCTAATCACTCATCACACAGTAAATACTGTAATAGTACCCCACCCCCATAATGACGGTGCGGAGTGTTGTGTAGTCTAGCTTTGAACGAGTTTTTCTCAACACTGGTTTAAGCTACAGTGTTCGTTTGAATATCAAAAAATAGCTGAAATTCAGGGCTATTTTTTGATACCAAAGCGCGCATTGTAGCATAAAGCAGCGCGGAGAACGGCCTGTTTAAAGTTAGACTACGCAACAATCCCGAAAAAACGCGTTTTTCTCGACATTGGTTTATGCTACAATGCGCGTTTAGGTATCAAAAAATAGCTGAAATTCAGGGATATTTTTTGATACCTAAGCGTGCATTGTAGCCTAAAATCGGGCTGAGAACGAGGCATCTAAAGTTGGTCGGCTAAAGGGGAGGGGCGGCGTTTATTAGAATAAATACGGTAGTCTAGCTTTGAACGAGTGTTTCTCGACATTGGTTGATGCTACAGTGTTCGTTTGGTTATCAAAAAATAGCCCTGAATTTCAGCTATTTTTTGATACCAAATACGCATTTTTTGAAAGCACGGGTGCTTTGCAAAAAATGAAATACTAAAAAACGACTACGCGACTTTGCGACTACGCGACTGTACGAGGGCGGTGGGGTACTATTACAGTATTTATGATGATAATCAAGTACATGATAATCAAGAGGCACAAAAGTCATGTCAAAGTCGGTCCATTCAGCTTTATCCTTGATGGGGAGGACAACGTCTTGTCGCCGGAAACACCACTAAAATGAAGAGTGAAAAAAAGAGCTAGAATAACTTGTGTAATCAATACCATTTCTTTTATTAAACACCAACTTGTTTCATATTACAAGTGTGAGTGAAACGAAGAACTGGAATGTAGTTTTCGGTCTAAATAAATTGTTGGTCTAAATTGTTGCAAATGAATCAATTTTCTCTCTCACCCGATTATTCCCGATTTTCAATTCAAAACCACCATTTGAGCCTGACTCAGTTGAGGCCAACAAATCATCGGATGAAACTAAATTTATATTTGGGATCAAGAGTTTGATCAATCGATTTTTTTCAGCTTTTTAACTAAAGCTTGAACTACAGGGTGACCAAGAATTACCACAACAACGTCGTGTTATGTTATGAGCCTTATTTCACTTTTTGCTAAAGAATTAGGTTGTTCCGTGGGCACAACGCCACTTCAAAAACCGAATTTGGACTTATCAACAAGATGGTGAGCCGGCTCACAAGGCAAAAAAAGTGCAAGAGTTTTGTTCCAAGACCTTCCCGGACTACATCTCGTTTTCTGAGTGACCACCCAGCTCACCTGATCTTAACCCATTGGATTACTCAGTCTGGAGTGTTCTTGAAGCTAGGGCATGTGCAAAACCACATAAAAATATCGAAATTTTGAAGAAGGCGCTTATCAAAGCATGGGATACCCTCGATGATGCCTATTTGCTCGTTTCCCATGGGCAACGCATTTCCAAAAAAGTGAAATGGAGCTCATAACATAATACGTTAAAAGCCAGACCTTTTGTGTGCTGCGGTAATTCTTGGTCACCCTTTCCAATATCCTAAAATGCTTTGCTACAATAGTTTTTGAACTTTGATTTCTTTTCTACAGTAGCTAAACTGAATTGTACTCCTTGGGAGGATTTAGGATATTGTACAGGGTGACCAAGAGTTACCGCAACACACAAAAGGCCTGGCTTTTAACGTATTATGTTATGAGCCCCATTTCACTTTTTGCTTACCTGTTTTGCTTACGGTCAACGCGTTTCCCAAACATTTACAAGTCTGTCTGAATGCCGATGGAGGCAAATTTGAATTTAATTGTTAATTTGTTACTGTTATATGTTGAATAAAGATATTTAAGTTAACTTTTCGAGATGGATTGTATATTTGATTAAAAGCCAAGGCCTTTTATGTGTTGCGGTAATTCTTGGTCACTCTGTAAAGCATGGTTTTATAATCATTTTCTTCTTTCCTTTGGAGTTTGATGAGATTCTCATCTTTTAAATAGAAATTTGCTCTTGTTTTGTCCGCGTTTTGAAAACTATAATAAATAGTTTTGAAAACTTTATAAATCCATTAGAATATTAGCTTTCTCATTAGCTTTCTCTTAAGCTATTAGCTTTTTCATTAGCTTTCTCATTAGCTTTCTCTTTCAATCTACCATTAGCAATATAAAATTTCATCAGAATTCCGATAGATTGTGTGAATTTTTTGTTATTTTGTTTGTTATTAATTAAAAGATGTCATAATACTTATTGTAAAGTTAAAATAAAGCAAATTCTAATGGTTAAACATCAAAATAAAATCAAAATAAAGGAAGAGATTGTACTCGAGGAAAGAAAGCTAGTAACTGGTTTTGGAAACAAGCGTCTTATCCACTACACCACAAGTTCGGATTTCGAAGCCTTACAAGCCGGTGAAAGCCGGTGAAAGCCGGTGAAAGAAGCCGGTGAAAGCCGGTGAAAGAAGCCGGTGAAAGCCGGTGAAAGAAGCCGGTGAAAGCCGGTGAAAGAAGCCGGTGAAAGCCGGTGAAAGAAGCCGGTGAAAGAAGCCTTACAAAAAGTCTAAGAGACTGATTTTTGACCTCTAACTTGAACTCAAACTTGTCTGCTAGATTCTTTCTTTTTTGCCGAGTTTCCGAATCATTTTGCAAAAACGGATAGCAGTATCGGAAGCAGCGTAAAATTCTGCGTCTTATAGTATATGGCTAATGTCATTTGGCCACCTCAACCTTGTGATCTTCCCTTGTAAGCGAACTCACATTCTGTGGGCAAAGTCTCTGATCCACCACGAGCCCATTTGTACAGCTTCACTTTTTGCGTTGCCATTGTCTTTCGATTGCAAGTTGTAGAGCCCTGGAAATGGCTAAGATAAGAACAAAATATCAATTCAAATTTGGGTACTTTGATAGTGATTTCAACTTCCTCTCCGGATTGAGCGAAAATCGCGATGAGAAAAGCGCCAAACCAGAAAAGTGAGCGCATTCTCTAAAAAGAATTCTTTATGGTTTTTAGTGAATTTATGAATGAAAAGCTAAATGTTTGTGAACTTTGAAAGTTTAATTTAAAATGAGGATTCGCTGACGTTTCTCTTTATTGATCAAAGCTCTTGTGCGAGAGTTGGAGTGCGATTTGTGTTTATAAACAGATCCCCCTCGTCTGCCCCATTGCAAAGTTTATATGGAAAACGCTTTTTCTTGATTTCTTGTGCCAAATTGAGTGCAAAAAAAGAAAAAAGAATGCGAAAACGAAAAGTTAAAGCTAGCCATTGCTGTCGCTGTACTAAAACTAAATTTATAGGTTCAGGTGTACCGCTTTCGACTAGAACACACCAATAGTAAGTCTTTTTAGAGCAAAAAACAAATTTCGGGATTACCTGAGCCACTGATGGGTCGGGATTAGTCGCAAAAACATCACAAGCGAAGCATCGCTCTTTTCAAACAGAGTGACCGCGCTTATAGCGACAACTTTTTGGAAAAGTAGCTGGGAAATGTCTAATTTATTTCAAAAGTACCAAGTGTTATATAGAGAATTATAGCCCTAATTCTTGGCTAGATTTATCTACCAAAAACTTCCCCAATTGGACTTATACAACTCATTTAACAAGCGAATGAGCGCTAGTTGTTATATTTAAACATGGAAAACGGATAGAAAACGATTTTTTTTTGTCTTACCGAGGTAAAACTAAAGGTAAAACTAAAACTACAAAAGTCATATACCTTGAAAAGCTTGATCCAGGCTAGCTAGCTAGATTCTAGTTTTTTTTTTTTCTATTTATAACTCTGTAAAGTTGATTGATTGATTGATCTTGGTCTATTCTGAACTGGTTTGGGGAATCTGGCTTTGGTTTTAGATCAAATATTATTGAAAAGTTAACAAGGGAAAGGCAACAGTAGGATATGGCCAAAGGATATGGGCTCGTGGTGGATCAGAGACTGTGCCCACAGAATGTGAGTTCGCTTACAAGGGAAGATCATAAGGCTGAGGTAGCCAAATGACATCAGCCATAAACCATTCGACGCAGAATTTCACGCTGATTCCGAATCTGCTTTCCGTTCTTGTAGGCTAGAAAACAAGGCAAAGGCTCACTGGTTTTAGTCTGAAAATAGTTCGAGAATAGTTTCTAATAAAATTCAGTATTAAAACATGAAAAATAAGGTGAAGCGTATTGTGTTAGCCAGAGCGGGCATCTTGTCTCGATTCACAGCAATGCCGAAAACGATTTTGTCACTAGTTAGTGTTCAAATTCAAATCTACAATGAAAAACTAGAAATTTTTAATCTCTGCTGTACATCTGATTGTGATGCGTACAATCAAAATCGTATCTTCAACGCTAATTATCTAATCACTGGTCATTGGGTGAGTCATTTTTTGTTTAATGCTTTCAAAAGTTTTTGCAAGAATTTATGCAATGATTTTAGACCAATAGCAATTTAACTATAGCATTCGTTGAAAACTTTAGTTGGTGTCAGATTGAAGTCATTATACTAATCTAACCGATCCTTGGAACTTGGCCAGTCCAGGCCAAGTCCAGGCCAAGCTCTAGGTTTCCTAACGAGGTACGAAGCTCGAGAAGTTCCAGAACAAGTCAAAGAGCTAGGTCTAGGCTTGATCTTGCAGCCCAAGTACTACAGCCTTCAGCAAAACCAAACCAAACGAAGCCAAACCAATCCAGTAACCAGGCAGTGGACCGGATTCTAGCTTTGCCTGGCTTAATCAAAAAAAAAACTGCCTTTAAACAATTCTGGCTTTATTTGTGCAGGAAATTGTACAAATTTTGGTACTTTAGCGGCCATTTTACATTGAAAATTTCAATTTGCATTTGAGTATACGGCTTGATTTACATTTAAAAATAAAAAAGGCTGTCAAAATAGTCAAAAGTACGTAAAGACGAACTTGTGCCTTTTCTGCCATTCATTTTTAAATGTAAATCAAGCCGTATTCAAATTTAGCCGGAAAACTTATTTCAAAATTTACAATTGAAGAGAAAATTTGACACAAGCAAATGCTAATCTTGAGTAGCCGCGAAAAATCACACAAATTTCATTAGTAAACCAGGATTTTTTTTTTTTGTATTTTCTAACGATGCTCTAATTATTAAAAATCTTTAGATAAAAGGAGATCGAGTTTTGACGGATGGAACTTCTTTTGACTACAAGAATACAATCTGTAACAATCTGTAACTTCTACGAACCCCATAAACCAAAAAAATCTGATTCTCAAACTCAGAACTTTCAAAAGCATTTAGATTTCCGACTTTATTTACAATTGTAATGATGAGCCGAATCCTTGTGCGGTTCGGGAAAGTGGTTTTTCGAGTACGGATCGGATGACCCAAAGCCCTATATTGTGTGCAAAAAGAAATGAAATGTTGTGGTAGATTTTTTGAGTTTTAAGCAGTTTGTTTCAAAAAGAAAACCCATGTTCTTGTTGTAAAGCTTTCAATCATTTATTCATTTCAATCTCAATGATTACTTGCTAGTCGATTGGCGCGGAGAACTTGAGAATCACCATTTGGTGGCAGAGCAGCCGAATTCGAGGTACAGAAGCTGATATCCCCGCCCCAGTTGATTTTAACCACACAATGCTCTCCGGGTGGGCACTGTTTACCATCAGCGCACGATTCCTTAAAACAACTAAAGTTTTCTTTAAGGATTTCTCACCTTTCGGTGGCACAGTATAATATTTACCAATAAAAATTTGAAATGAGCTTTTATAGAGCATAAAGTTAGTGTTAAAGCTGAGCTCTGGGCCAGTTGCGAGACTGTCGTAAGCTGCGACACTGTCGTAAGTCCTTACGACACCATTTCACCACCATTTTACGACACTGTCGTAACTTTGGCTACTGTCGTAACTAGTTTTTGGGCTATATCTTCGCTGTAGCTTCGCGAAACGGTTTAATTCCTTTTCTATATGAAAATTGTGATAGTTTTCTACGCAGAATTTCTTTATAAAAATTGTAGAATGCTTTTGAAATTTTTATTAAAGGCTTGAAAGATGGGCTCCAAACAATCCTTAGCACGCAACATTATTCAAGCTCTTTCTAGTTCATTTTCAGACTGAAATCGATTTTCTTGCGTTTTTTTGATAAATTTAAGCTTTAAGAAGAACATTTGGATAATTCTTTAACTTAATCTTGAGATTAACCGATGAAATTTGCCAGTTGCGCCAGAAATTTGCGAGAAAAATTCATCTTCAAGAAGCCGTTTCATCCAGAGCTCATAAAACCCCACATCGTTGAAGATTTTCATTGAAAAACATTTGTTTTGAGCTTTTTAACTAGAAAAGATTCAAATAAACCATGTGAGAGCCCTTAAAATCTGTTCATGAAAAGCGGTAGATTGAGTTGCGTGGCAAGGGTTTTTTTTGAGCGCATCTTTGAAGCCTTTAATAAAAATCTCAAAAGCATTCTACAATTTTTATAAAGACATTCTCCGTAGAAAATTATCGCAATTTTTGCATTAAAAATGAATTAAACCGGTTCGCGACGCTACAGCCAAGATATGGCCTAAAAACTTCGAGGCGATAAGTTGCGGCCTGTACAATTAAGCTACAGTCGACTCTCTTTATAATGGAACTCTATATAGCGGAACTCTATATAACGGAATGGAATTTTGGTATAAAACTGGAAAGGGAAAAATTCCAACTCGAACCTTATTCCACCTTTGTTTCTCGGCCGTTTCTTGACCGATTGCTCTGAAATTTTGTCTACAAGCAGACAATGAGAATGCCGATTTCTAGACAAAATTTCAAATCAATCAGCTAAAAAACGATGATGGAAATAGGTTCGAATTTTTAACTAAAACGGCAATGCCCACCAATATTATATTGTTTAAATTGGTGAAATATTAATAAGTACTTAAATCTAATGTGTATTGGTTTGATAATAAACTGGTACACTAGTAGATTAAACTGGTATACTAGTAGACTAAACTGGTATACTAGTAGACTAAACTGGTATACTAGTAGATTAAACTGGTATACTAGTGATTAAACTGGTTAACTAGTGATTAAACTGGTATACTAGTAGATTAAACTGGTATACTACTAGATTAAACTGGTATACTAGTAGATTAAACTGGTATACTAGTAGATTAAACTGGTATACTAGTGATTAAACTGGTATACTAGTGATTAAACTGGTGTACTAGTAGATTAAACTGGTATACTAGTGATTAAACTGGTATACTGGTAGATTAAACTGGTATACTAGTAGATACTACCTAAAAAACTCTTTCTAACTCACCCCATCAGCTGTCGTTGAAGCAATGAAAGCAATAGCGAAAAAAAGAAAAATACAAAGTTTGCTCATTTTGAAAAATTTAAAGCTTGAAGGCAGAAAGGATTCAGTATTTTGATGTAGTATTTATATGATTTAAAAACTCTCAACAAAGATCGACTTATTTATTGCTTGACTGGGCGTGAACCCTTTAATCTCTTATCAGCAAAAGATTTTCGAGAGAATGACGAAAAAATTGGCTTTTGATTTTGTTTTGAGTGCTTAACCTGATTGGGGTACAGAAAGTGATCGGATTTGAGCTGAGATCAAAGATTGGCTCTAGTTTATTCATGGAAACTCTCCTACGTCAAGGAAAATGGCCTAGAGATTAGAGTTTTGAATGAAAGATCATTTGAGAACTCTAAGAATAAGCTATTGAACCTGAATTTAACGGCGTCGCTTTCAAAAGTAATAGAACTTTCCGGCCATCCTGTAGATCGTGTTAATCCAGCAGATTTCAAGAAAGCTAGTTAGAAAGTTACTGTGATTTGTAGGTTTGTAGATAGCTTTGACTACGCGCGAGTACGGTCCGTTTCGAGTCAGACTATAAATCACTGTAACTTTCTTTAGGATTGATAGTTTTGGGTATGATTTAGCTCATTCGGAAGCTCTTGAGATCAGAGTTGTTTTGAATGAAAGATCATTTGAGAACTCTAAGAATAAGCTATTGTTTTTCTTGAACAAATTGTTTGGTATCGTGAAGGCG